CAGGAAACTGATTTGGCTTGTAATTATCATTGAGGTTTTTTTATCCAGTGGATAAAGTAGCTTAGGTGGAACTCACTCTATGTTTCAAACACAAGCAGAATGATAACAGTGCTATTTGAAAGTATGCCGCACTTCATGAGCTTACACGAAGCTACTGAATAAATAGCTATATTAAAAAAGTATTTTTTGTACTCACTGATGTTTCCTTTTCGTGCACGTCTGGATGTTTGATGCTGTCGGCTCCATTTGTGGATAACTATCCTGGATAAAATTTACACTTAAAACCTCTACCATGAACATCCATAATCTCTACTGTACCTACCATAAATACATTTGTAGTTTTATATCTGCCTTTTTTAGGGCTTATTTTTTACGTTTGCAAATTTCTAGTTTAATTGAGTGAAAGCAGCTTTCAGTATTTCCCTTTTCATCTGTCCTTAAAAATAAAGATAAGAAGCACTGCACCTCTTTGAAAAGGCTCAGCTTTGTGTGTTCTGCCCCCTTACTCACACAGTCACACTTTCCCCTGCACTTTTAACAGGTTCTGTGTTTTTCTTTTTTTATGAAACCAGACACAGATTTACAGTACATTTTATAAGAAGACAAATGCCAATTACTTTGTAGGTCTTTTATAGATAACTATGAGCATTAAAAATGCTTCAAAATGTAAAAAAGGAACAATCTAATGCATACTTTATTGTCCCTCCAAGGCGTTTTACTGAAGCCGTGAGAGAAAAAACAAGGGAGAAAAAAGAAAAAAAAGGTTGCAGCTCCTGAAAGTGGGCTTTGAACTACAAGGTTTTCTGTGCTTCCCGTTCAGTCAGTGTGGATGCTTTGGGTACCAGAGTCATCTGAGATCAACAACATGCTGTTTGACTTTTTTCCAATTGTGGGGGGGGGGGGGGGGCTCTAAGTTTGTGACAAAGGGGATTTCACCTCTTTGAGACCTGATGTTTCCTGTAGCAGAAGAGCTGTTGCATATTCCCTCACTGTCAGGGGAGAGGCACCGTGACTGAATCACTGCAGCAGCAGAGAACAGCTGCACCCACCACCTCAGCACGTTTCTTTTTGTCTTGGTTCCTGCAGCTTAATATTAAGATGCAATATATCGATTGACTCCTATAGGCTTTGCAGAATTGCTTCTTTGAATTTAGGATTAGAATCAGGGTTAGGTTTATAATAATAATAATAATAAACTTTATTTTATATAGCGCCTTTAAAGGTGGCTTCTCAAAGCGCTTTACAGGATGACAATAACAATAAATAAGAAGAATACAACAATAAATAAGGAGAATACTCAAGAAAAGACACAATTACAATATATAGAGGAGACCGTGGACAGTGGTATTAAGAAGAGCAGAGATATCCTTGGGCAAAAAGTTCCAGAGCTTGGGGGCATAACAGGAGAAGGCCCTATCACCCATACAATGTAGATGGGCTTGGGGGACAGTAAGGAGGGCAGAATTTGAAGAGCGGAGGTTGAGAGGTTGAGAGGTGGGGAGTAGGGCGATAATAGTTCAGATAGGTACTGAGGTGCCAAGCCATGCAGAGCCTTATAGGTGAGCATGAGGATTTTAAAGTCTGCACTGCAGTTTGTTCAAAGTTTGTTTGTTCAAAGTAGATTTAGATACCCCAGCGAGTAGAGCATTACAGTAGTCAATTCGAGAGAATACAAATGTGTGGATCAGCTTTTCAGCTTTTCAGCCACAGTTAATGATAGCATAGGGCGTAGTTAGTTAGTTCTGGCAGAAAAAACAAGAGATAGTGTTATTAGTTGGTTAGTGTATTAATAAGGAGTTACCTACAGTAATAGCTCTAGGTATAATTCAGCACTGAAGCAATATTTATACAATGATAATCAAAGAAGACCATGGTAATCCATTAAAGGGATTTCAAGAGACAAACAACTCAAATAGTCAAAAATATTTAAGCCATCCAAAGGTCAAAGCTCATCAACATTCAGTTGATGTTTAATAGGGGGAATGCAGCAATAATGACAATAGTTCTAAAGACTGCTTTGATATATGGTGAGATCAACAAGTTAAAGATATCAAAGCATTTCAAAAGACCAAGCTAGTAAACACTGCATCACAATGCAAGCAAACTGTACATTCTGTTGGCACGGCAAGATCACAGAGAAGCCACAAAAGTACAGAAACATCTGTGCTGTGGAGGACTTACTGATACTGGATTTCAGAAGGGCCAAGAGAGACACTGTATAGATGAATATATTGATATGGAGGATAAAATAAAAAAATGCCTTTTTTTCAGTTTTAAAACAATGAAAAAGCAGGGGAAAATAATGTATATCAGTGATAAAAATGGGAAACGTATACAGTGAGAGAGAAATAGCTGATGTATTTAATGAATATTTCACTTAAGTGTTCAGCAGGGAATAAATCAACAACACGCCGCAGGCTGATGAAAAATCAAATTCTATATTAAACACTATGAACGTAAAAGTGGATAAACTGTTATGGGTACTAGAAACACCTATATTATCTAGGACCTGATGCAAATTATATCGAATGTAAGGCATATTATGGAAATCTTACTTAGAACTGAAACAAAGGATTGTCTAAATGGAAACAGGATTCTAGGGGATAGCTGCTTAACTTACTACAGTTCCTTGGACCAGCTATAACTAATTATACAGCCCAAGCATATAATATGAAATGGTAAGATTTTCACCAAACCTTTGATAAAATTCCTTATACATGATTAAATGTCAAATTACAGGTAATAGGCATTCAAGAAAACTGACATATTCAGATTGACGGGGTAGGAAAGAGAAGGTACAGATAAGTGATGAATGTAATTATCGGATAACCAGAGGGATCTGCAGTAGGACCACCGCTCTTCCTAATTCATTATGATGTCATTACTTAATGTTCCAGATTTCTGTATAGTTGGTTGTTTTGCTGAAATTCAAAACGTTCTAGATTACTGGCCAAACACCTGCCAGATAAGGTTTAATGTAGTCTAATACAGTTATATGTATGTGGAAAAACACATATCTTATTATTAATAATAATAGTAATTCCTTACACTTCTATAGCGCTTTCTGGACACCCCACTCAGAGCACTTCACAGGTAATGAGGATCCCCTCCACCCCCACCAGTGTGAAACCCCACCTGGATGATCCACCACATATGATAAATACCAAACAGGAAACAGTAAGTTTGAAGAGGCGAACTTAGAACAGAGGACAGGATAAAAACAAGGGCCCTTTGGCCCGTTTAGTAGTTGGTAGCAATGGTCCGAGGAAGTCACCCATGCTTCTCCTGAAGTATCAGCTTCGACCGCGAGGCTGGGTGCTTCTTCCATACTGCTGCAACCCAGTGTTGGGTAAAGAAATGTCTCCTAATTTCAGTTTTAATTGTCTTTTTCTTGAAAAGCAATTTGAAACAGCAATATCTTAGTGTGATTGTGAGCAGCACGTGGAGTAAGGTGAAGATTTGAAAGTACTTGTTTTGTGTGGACTGCCCTGGTGGCTCTGGGGAATCTGAAGAAGGAGACTTGATGTTGTGTCTTTCAGCTTTTGTTTTCACTTTTCTCCTTACATGAATCTCTTCATATACAGTATCTGCATAAAAATCAGCTCTTCTGTCTCTGTCTTATTTTGTTCCAGATTTACATACCATGCATTAACACTGGATTTCACCATGTTGCACATGGAAAAAAAAACTTTTTTTATTTTATTAAATAAACATACTTTGTCAATAATTTTGATAACATGTCAGAAAACAGTAATGGTGCATCTTCACAGAAGTGTTCTTATAAAAATGAAGATTGTTAAGCAGAGATTACATTTCTGAAACTAGAATCTCGTACAATACTCTTATCTTTAAATTATGTGCAGTTAACCAATACACAAACTTGAAAACAAATAGAATTGCATTATTTAATACTGCACATTAAATTAAACTGACCCCTTGTTTACTTGAAACTTGAAATATGTGTTGCTTTTGTTACTATTTAAGGAATACATCCATTGGGAATGCTTAACAACTTAACAAGACCATATCGCAGCTGTAAACATTGCAAATAGCTATTAATTAACACATTAAGAAGACTTGCTGACAAGAGCGTATCTAAATGGCACATTTTCTAACAACACAAATTGCTTTGTAGGCATTACATAGCTTTCAAACCAAAGAATCATCAAGATTTTTATGAGATTCTGAAAATGGTGGGTACTGCACTGGTAGTCATGTATATTATGTGCACAGGGCAGAGTAAAACATGTACCAGAGCATCAAACTCTGTCTTACTTCACTTGTTAATTGAATTCATTATTACCGTTAATTAATGCATCTTAAATCATTGATAGGATTCAGCTCATGCCAGTTAATTATTAATTAATTGCTCTTCAGCTGTGAGATAATGGATATTAACAGACTACATTAATGAGATGAGGGTTTGTTACGTGTAATTCTTAAAAGCTTAGTCATGTACAGTATATGGAACAAGTAAAGGTTGATTCTAAGATGAAAAGAAAAGAGACACAATGTTTAGCTGTGAAGCCTTCTTCAGGTGTCACAACCTAAAAGTGATATTTCAGCAGGGAATAAACATTTACTTGTTCCTTTGCAGCCTACACATCATATACTGTATATACAGGTATGTCTTCATATTCATATCAATATATAAAAATGCCCTAGCATAGTTTGTAGGATATTAATTTTGTGAGTTTGAAAAAGTATTGCAATGTTTTCAAAATTGATAGAAAACATTGATCTGTGATCTTGCCGATCTTCAGAAGCCTTATTTTAGTTCTGAGTGCTTAATTGTGCAATGATGATTTGCAAAAAAACAAACATTAGCAGACTGGCACACACTCATTGTTAATAGATTTTTAACTAAGGAACATATGATACTAACAAACACTTCACATTTCATCCATGGCACCAGGCTCTGTAAACTATTAACCTGATGGTAATAAATCCTCTTACAAATCACGGGATTCTGTCAACAGCACAAAGTCCAAAGCCGCTTGGAGTTTTTTTTCTGCTTAAATTATACCACTGTGGACTGCAGAGCTTGTATCTTCAGACGTTCCTCAATGATGGATATATTTTCCATATTCATAAGAGAAATCCCTGGCTGGTTTCTCATATTTGGAATTTTCCTTCCTTTTGCTTTGCTTTTGATTCTGTTTATATCTTATCTGAACTGGAAGCTTAAAGAAGGTATGTCAGTAATATACTGTATTCTAACAATTCTAACATTTAAAAAAGTGCTATCAATAGTCAAGGTCCTGAGTTTACCTACTTATTTTTAATTAAATATAAGGTAAACATTAGAAATATCCCAAAAGTGAGAACAAATTAACTATACCATGACTGGGAGTTTTCACTTATATAAGTTGTTCATGATTATGATTACTTTGTTAGTAAATTTTTAATCAACACTACTTAAGGTCTAACATTATGGTGCAGGACTAAACTACAATAAGATCACAAAAGCCAAACAAAGCAAAACAACTGTCTTTTACATACTCATGTTGAAAACCTCTTGATATGCCTTTAACATTCTCAGTGATATGGCTTTTAAAATCTCAAATCTCCTGTTGGCTTTTTTATTTTTAAAATTCACTCTGGTGATGGATTAAAAATGAGATGTCGTTAAAAAAAGAGATGACAGTACTAAAGGTTTTTGAAATTCTTGTTTATATTGTGGGTAATTGCAGTCTGTGAGGTGTCATAGGCATTGCATGGCAGAGAACATCTACAGTAAGCATCTGTTAGGAACAGCAAACGCAACAGGTTCAATCATCAAGAGATATCAATTCTTTATATTTTATCCTAACATTCAGACAGTGTTATCCAGACATGAAAGCCTCCAGCTACGTAGGCTGTTGGATGTCTAATTAGCCAACCATGTGGTTTTGGAAAAAGCCTTTGAATTTGCATCCAAACCAAAATATATTTCAGAGCATACAGTTTTAAAAAATCCACAGCTACTGATGTAATGGGTGTCCCATCAAAATCGGGCTTTGACAAGTGTTATCAATAGTCAAGAGTGCAAAATTGCACCACCAATTTCACAGTGATTGGAAATGACAGTAACATTTGCATTTTTTATTCAGGTTTAATTGAAAGAGTCTCGCAGAGAAAATGCATTTTACTTATTATCATTCAGGTGGTTACTGCCTGTTTCAAGTTTTATTACCCTCAGAATGTGAGATCAGAAAAACAATCATTTGTTCACGAGTGTTTTCAGCTGATATATGCAAGAGTGTAAATTTTTGAGCTGTTCAGTTTAGATTTGTTAGCTAGGTAGAGGCCTAAATGAACAATTTAACAAAAAATCTTTGGATAGTTGTCCCAGAACTATGTCCATATGGAATATAAACTTGAAAAATTTATAAACCTGCCCACATATCCCACCAAGCAGTAATATTTTGTCTGAACCGAACAGACTGAAGAGAGAAACTGTGCTTTGGTGTGGAAGACAGGACCCGCAGATTTACATCTTGTAACATTCAGAAATGTTGAACACCTCCAAAGAAATATGACTTCTTCCCAGTGGGTGTTAATTATGATGGGTTTATGATTTTAAGCACAACCTTAAGATGGAACTTTGCCCTAAGAGCAGTTCATGGAAAGAGCTGATCCTTCCATGTGATCCTATTTCAAGAATAGCTTCATATTTCATAGCTATACAAGTACACTTATTCCTCACATAACACCCACCTGCATAATGCCTTTTCACAAATAAAAAAGGGACATTTCTATTCTCATTATTATCATTCTAACCAACTAAAAAAGCATTAGGTTAGAGTAAAGGAATAAGTAATAGGTTTATTCCATGCTGAAAAGAGAAGAAAGAAAACACAACGTTTCGGCCGTAGAGCCTTCTTAAGTTAGAGTAAGTTGTGTGTATTTACCTGTGTGGAAGAACACATCATGGCCATTCATCTCTCTCTCAGTGTTTAATTTACCATGAATAAACACGTGATCATGACTTTGTGTGGTTTGTATACACCTTCATTTGGATACGATACAGTATTATCCTTTACCATGAGAGACAAACACGCAAAAGGCAATACCAGTGGTTCTGCAAATAAAAGGCAAAGAAAAGTTATAAGAGTCATAAAAGTCATTAATGTATAAAGTGTACAGATAATTAATGAATTTATGACATCTCAGCATGCGGTTTGAATCTGACTGGGCCGATAATGTGTAGAATTTTAATTCTAAGGTGACAAAATTAAACCATGGAACATGAGGTAAAAACAGTCATTTACAAGTTTTATTTTTCATTTTAAATAATGCATGATTTTATTTATGTTAGGACATTTTTGTCAAACAAGTTTTCCTTTTTAAGTAAAACTATGTACTCATACACACTTTATTCACACTAATAATATACTAACATTTGCATACAATATGAGCAGGTTAACACATACATACAGTATGCAAACACATACTGTACTTGAAATTAACATTAACAAAAGTGTGGATTGACAGAGAAGAAAATATTGATCATCCCTGCGTATGTTTCCAGGAATGCAACTATGGTTTTATATGAGAAATTGCTGTACCTCCAATATGAAATTCATTTTCTTTTTCTGTAGTGGCAGTAGGTGCTTTTTGTGGGTCCACAGAACCCATATGAACTACTGTACACTGGCCTCTTCTTGATTGTAAATTTTCTACTATTCTTATGTCATTTTGATACCTGCTACTTTTAAGGAATACATTGCAATATAATTTATTGGTGTGTATAAAACAGTAGGCGTGTGATTGCTCCAATGAAATAGTTCATACAAACAAGCCCAAAAAGGTTTCAGTAAACAATCCTGCTCTAGCTAAGCTAAGCCTGTGTTAGTACAGTATATAGGCTAAAATCTCTTTTATTGTACTATATTCTAACCGCGGTGCGAAAGACATTCAACAGGGGTAAAACGCAGATGGCTTCAGAAGTTATTATGGGACACCTCAATTGACAATAAACAAAGGAGACGTTAAAATGTACTCACCACTATCTCCTTTTGCAAAATAGTGAATGATGAGCTGGCTGTGGTTGTGGACCCCAGGGAGAGAGCTTATGAGCTGTGCTTTGGATCAGCATCATCAAGGCCGAAACACAGGACCAGGCTGCACCCACACACCTGACCTACACCCCAGAAGCAGCGGGCTCCAAGCTTGCAGGCGGCCAGGCAGAATTGCAGGGCTTCTCTCATCCTGGGAAGGGGAGTCCAGATGACGCACAGAAGAGATCCTTAGGGAGACTTGAAGAGCAGAGAGATGGCTGATGACTGTGAACCAGATTCTAATGGAATCACTGTATCTGGCTCATGAATAGCTGAAGTACACAAATCCAGTAGGATTTCACAACAGAAGATCAGGAAAAGCGTCAGAAACTAAAAATTATAATCTTGAACAGTTTACAGCAAGCCTTCAGTAAATATAACTGTTTATGCATCACCTGAGCTAGTGTGTGATATACGAGACTAGTGAACAACAATTCCCTGAATCAAGTATTGTGTTCTTAAAGGAATCTTAAACATAACTTTGTCCAAGCAGTTTTATATGATGTAGTAAGCTGACATAAATGTCCATATACTGTGATGCAATATTGTGTTCAACCAGAATTTAATGGACTTATGCCCAGGAAAAAAAAAAGATGGTAACAAATATTTAAGATCCCTAAAAGGAAGTTTTGACCAAAACATAAAATCCCTGCTGCAAAAGATATATCATCCAAAAAAAATGTTTGTGGTTGTAAAATAATGTATTATATTGTATATGGGACATGCTAAAAAGAACAGAACCACTACTATCTTTATGCAAAAATCGTTTAATTCTAACTAAAGACACATATTTCACACATTAAATTAAACCACACCACACAAATTATTAAAGTCAAATCCATCCAAATTATAACAGCTCATCCAGTTTAGGGTCACATATTCGGAAGTCACATGAGCTGGTGCCTATTCTGACAAGCAATAGGTGCAAGGCAGGACACACCCTGGGTGGGATGCCAATCCATCAAAGACACACACTCATACCACAATCAATTTTTATGGAAGTCAATTAGCCTACCTGTACATTTTTATACTGTGGGAGGAATCCAGAGAACCTGGAGGACACCCATGGGAACATGGGAAGAACATACACAGAACTCCACACAGACAGCACCCCAGGAATTGACCCCAGCCTTGCAAGGAAGCAAAGCTAACCACTGTGCTACCACACCACCCCAAAACACCAACATCTTATAGTTTAAATAAAAAAAAGATATTGCTAAGACATAATCAAACGTTCCCATAGAAAAAATCAATCTATATGCATCTCCCACTTAAAAGAGCTACACATGCAAATGGTATATGTATACTGATCAGAGTGTATGGACAGAAATAATGCATATATTGAAAAGCAGACTAAAGCTTCAATCTGAATGCCTGAAACACATTAGTGAATGAAATAAACAGGTTTGACTCTTTATCAGCATAAACAGAACTATGCTGAAATGAATACAGTGTATGACACTGTAAAACAAGTAATTGGTTCTCATGCTGAACCACTGCTTGTGTTTTAGTCATACAGTACAGACTGTACACAACTAACAAATTGCATTATAAACTCACTGATCACTGAACACCTAGCAACCAGTAGTCAAGCTGGTTGATGATGTTGCCTTGAATTGCTGCCACCTGCTTCCATCAGAGAAGCCATTCTTGTTGCCGTGCAACAGCAAAGGAGTGAACAACATACAGTAGTTAATATCATGGAAGTGACGAGTGGGAGCTTGCAGTTCTTGGTTTCCTCAGGAACTGTGGGCATTTCCACAAGAAGTCACATTCCTCTCGGGGGTACTGAGACTCACTTAGGCCAGATTTCCCAACCCTCTTCAACCAGTTAACCTCACACTTTAAACCGGGTTATGCCACTGGTCCAGTGCTCTGTCATTGAGCTGCTTCCTAGATAACGACAGTGCGCCTGACAGTTCCAGTCTCTTGCTCAGCATCAGACCAGCAGCTCCAAGTTCTCCACCAGCTCCCCACATGACAGCGCATCCTGGCCCGACGACCGCGTACGCCAATCAGACCAGACCAGTTCACCACCACAGCTTCCTCTTCTCCATCCTGCCTCGGCCATCTCCGAGCCCCGCCACTTCCCTCCGGAAGTCACTGAGCTCCAGCCCTTGGGACTACCAGCCTGTCAGCAAGAACCAGCGGCCTCTTCCAGCGAGCGTCACACTCTGGTGAAGTACTGCAGATCGCGGCCCACCACGCTCAAGAGGCCCAAGAGGCTAATGCACTTGAGCAAAGGCGATGAGGGGAGCTGTGCAGGACTTTTCTTGCAAGCTCTCCTGCACGACACGATACAAACCAACTCCACTGCTTCAGCATCTCTCCAGGCTCCTGCTTCAGTCCCTGTTCCCTGTTCCTCATCCGGGCCAGAACTCCGAGAAGCTCCCTGCTTCTCTGAATCACAGCTACGTCTTCCCCTTTCCTGACTCCGGATCCTGATGACAGTGAGTGTCACTTTCAATTGACTTGCATAAATGGCATTTTAGATCGCATTTTTCTTAACAGTAGAAGCTGTGTTAATATGACTTCATTTTTTTGTATATGTTTGTATGCATGTGTGAAGGATGTTCATGTACCCAGGAACACAAATGAAGTGCCTTGTGGAAAAATAAAGTTCTTCCAAGTCTAAGAAAAGTAAGCAAATAAAAAAACACACTTGGATATAAACAAGCTTTTATTTTAACAGCATTACAGAGGAAAAACAAAACACATCTTTAAAGCTGCTAAAAACCTAAGTGTATTTTTGCTATACACAGGGTCAAAAAAAAGCAAACTGACATCAACAATGGGTTTCTGAAATTCATGTCATCATATTGCTAAGAAAAGTTATTTTTTATCTACAGGAAAAGATCAAATGTTTCTTCAGAACAAAGTTCTGAAAACAATTACACAAATTAAAAAGCAAATTAGCCAGAGGAACATCTAAATTGGTTTAGACATCAAGACAAAGTGTTAAAGATAGCAAAAGTATTCTAAAAATATAAATCAGATTAATTATGCCAGAAAGTTATGGAAAGCAAAGAATTAAGCTGCCTAAAATTTAAGGTTTTTATCAGGGAGAAGTTAATACACAATACCTCCCCAACATGGAATGTTTAAGTTGACTGCATCTGAGAATGTGTTGGCACTGTAGTGCAATGTCCTTAATGACACAGTGCTTCGTCTTACCTGGTTCCTTTATATATATCCGAGGAAACTTTGCTGCACATTTTTATAGATTACAAGGTACACTGACCAGTTCCAAATCTAGGCTGCTCACTTAGTTATACTGTGTCTTAAGATGTATATTTGTTCACCCATCAGACTTCTTATGATGTTTGTTAATCCAATACTATTCTGTACAAACTAGAAAAGTATCCAAAGTGAATGTGTCTTACAATAAAACTGATCACGTATAAATTCTTTTTGTTTTTTAATAATGGTAGACAAATTTGCAAAAGCACAGAAAATACAACGAAAATGATCTAAAAATGTTAAGTGGTTTTCTTAAAAAACAATAAAAATAATGGTATCATCCTCAGCTGTTCTTCTTGCGTAGCTGAACAGCTGCTTCATTCGGTGGATTTCTGGATTTACTTAAAAATCCAAGTGTCCTCTTCTCAGTTCTAAAATATAGTAAGAATAACACAAAATAATAAAATCATAAAACAGCAAATAGAAGCAAAATACTACACATTTCTTTGAGATCCTTTTATCTGCTCTTCTGTATTCGGTAAAGATACTACCGTAGGGCTTGTTTATTCTTAATTAAAACTTTCTATAATTAATAATAAGCAAACAAGAGTTAGTTCAGCATTAATCAGCAGTGTTAGTCATACTGGCTTTGACGGAGCATGCAGCACACATTTTCCCCTGGTGTCAAACTGTTGATGCTCCACATGTCGCTGTTTATGCCAAAGGGGGTAACTGTTCACTTGGTAACAGATCACATCTTTCTTCCTATGCTCCCAACCTCTTCTGTAAAACTACAAAATTAATTGCTGGTCCAGAAGCCTTTCAATTTTTCTGAACGTAAAAAAAATAAATGGATATGAAAAAGCAGAAATAGAAAACTCCCAAGCAGGTAGAAATGGTAGACTTCATAAAAGCAAAAGCTGATAGAGTTCAAGGGGGGAAACTGAACTCAACAACTGCATGGATTTCGTTATCAAAAAATGAAAATGCATATATGGTTTTAGCAATATACTCATCCTTGTGTGCTGAAAATAAATATGTATTGGAACGAAGGCTCCAATGTTGGGAAGAGCAGATCGCTACAATATGTATTTATCCTTCAGAAACAATCTCATTAGAACAGCTCCCGAGTCTGGCCTGGTTTCCTTCACAGCTTTTTAAGGCATTACCCACTGGAAGGTGGAGGTACATTTTTTCCCCCACATCTGCTCATAAATTTTAAAATGATGATTAAACACAAATTTAACAAGGATTATACCACACACGAGACAATGACTTGATAAATAAAATATTTACTTCTTTAGTCCTAGCCACCTTCTACAAATAGACTATTGTTGTGTGACTTTTACAACAAAAGGAACTCTAAATTGTACTAATCTTTTTTTTTTTTTTCCAGAATGAGATTTGACCTTTCTTGAGGTGGTATTAGTGCATTTAAACTTCAGTGTTGCAGTACAAAAGCAGTACAAGCTGAAAATAAAGGCTCTATTTGCACGTGAAAAAATACTATGGTGGCAGGGCTACCACAGTTTTCATGGTCCCAACTTTTTTTGTATATATTTTATATAGATTATAGTTTTAATCACCTCCAAACATAATTATCATAAATTATGAGATTATATATATATACACAGTTCAGCAATCATATACATTGAGTGTACAAAAGATTAGGGATGCCCGCTCTTGAAATCGACTGACGAGGTGAATCCAGGTGAAAGCTATGACCCCTAATTTATTTCACCTGTTAAATCCACTGCAATCAGTGTAGAGGGAGGGGAGGAGACAAGTTCAAGAAGGATTTGAGACAACTTAAGACATGGATTGTGTATGTGAGGGAGAAGAAAAAATATTTAAGTGCCTTTGAAAAGTATGTGATAGTAGGTGCCAGGCACACTGGTTTGAGTGCGTCAAGAACTGGGTTTTCCAAGCTCAACAGTGTCTAGTGTGTATCTGGAATGGTCCACCACCCAATAGACACCCAGCCAATGGCAGGCCGGTGGTCAAAAATGGCTTTGTCTTTGATGAAAGAAGTGAAAGGAGGCGGATACAAAATGTGCACATCAACAGACAGTCGACAGTTAGTCAACTGACAGTTTAGTACAACACTGCTGCAGAAAAATCCATAAAAGAACGCACCACTCATCGCACCTCGACACGGATGGGGTGTGCCATCTGAAGAACATCTGAAGAAGTTCCACTTCTTTCAGGCCATGTAAACGGAACTTATTTTGGAGGCTGATTTTTTGGAGGAAAGGATGCCAGGGTAACACCCGTTCTCTTTGAGAGAAACACCCCGGGATTTGTAATGACCACAGAGAGTCAGAACCTCAGTTTTATGTCTCATCCAAAGGACTATATTTTACATTATAGTGTCCCTGTCGCTATGCTGAAGCATTAGGACCCACAAAGTCTGCAGGGTGAGCACCCCCTACTGGTCCCACTAACACCTCTTCTAGCAGCAACCTTAGATTTTCCATCCAGGTACTGACCAGGCTCACACCTGCTGAGCTTCAGTGGGTTGTCAGTAGTGAGTTGCAGGTGATATGCTTGCTGGCATCCTTCACCAAGTTCTTTACAGAGAAGTGCACACATACTGTAGCACTAACCTAAGTGCTTGGTTCCATCAGTGAAGGGTTCTGGTGGTTCAGTAATGTTCTGGGAGGGGCACATTTGTCTGGCATGGTACGAGTACACTCATTCTCATTCTAGCTACTATTTTAATGGTAATGAGTGATCATCCTCACCCCATGTTGCACCATTTATTTCTTGCTTTGAGGATGACAACCCCCCCTATCTACAGAGTATGTGTGGTCACACAAGGGTCTGATGATCATGACTCTGATGTCCTCCATATGTCATGGCCAAGTCAGTCACTAGATCTGAACCCATTGGAGCATGAATGTGATGTTCCAGAACAACGCCCCAAGACAGCCTCCATCAACAGGCCATGAGCTGAACCGCCTTTCTTGTGGAAGATCTACAGGCCACACCTGCTGGTCCAGATCCTTATGAACGGACTTAACACTGGTGTTTCCATCTTTTGTCCTCTATCTGTACTACACTGATGCAAACAGTACAGACTTATTTTCAAAATATTGTTCATAAGTGAACAATAAATTAAGCTTATTAGACCTTATAATTGCTTTTTAATAAGGAAAATAAATAAAAATATGAAAAACACTTCAGTACCCTGACATCAAATTTAAATTACATGGATTCAGTATCAAGTTTACTTATAATATTAGTATGAATTTGTTGTAAAAAGAATGGAGTTATTTGAACATTTTTCTAAATGTAACTGCTTAAAACTTAAGTGTATAATGATTTGTACCCTATGCTGTGCACTATACTACTAATAAATTCTAATTAAATGCATTTTACTGATATTGAGCCAACTCCTAATACAACAAGGCAGATGCTAAAATGCCAAATATACCAGTGTAAGCTAAAATGTCATGAAATGTAACATTATATGCAAATATAATATTTAAACAAATGCCATGCAGACAATTAAGACCTGATGAAAAATTACCCATAGTTAAAAAAAAGCCAGAAACACACAAATTTGAGTGCTCAAGGCAAATTCATGTACCTCACAAGCAGAAATTCATTTATAAAGAAACTTTGTTCATCCATTGTTGAAACTCTTCAATGAGAACATCGTCTTTAAGCAAGACTTAAATTTCTGGGAAGCAATCCCTTGGGCTTAAAAAACACTACATAAATACAAGGAACTGTTATTGTTGTTCTTGCCAAACTGGGATGTAATTTTGTGCTAGTGTAAACTGAGATGGAAATATTACACATACCTCAAGTGAACCACTCTGAAAGTGTGTGATGTGTCAAGATGCACAATCAAAACTGATTCAGATCTCACAAAAATTAGTGATCTTGGATATCGGAGGTACTGTAGCAAAGGTACAACCAACAAAAACTGTGATAGAAAGGAATTCAAAAGATAACCTAAGGCTGTAAAACATAGTAAGAAAAAGCACTCCAGGCTGCGTGTAGCATTTGATGGTGGTTCTCAAAAACGTCAGGCCGGAAGATAATGGCAGAGAAGCAGAAGAAGAGGTGACGAGGCCTCTCTGAATGTTGCGGTCCCTTACCTGGCATTCAGTCCTCCTCCTCCTCTGTGAGCTCGGTCTCTTTGTGCACCACCACCCGGGTCACTGACATGTCAGGGTGCTGCTCTTTGGCTTCCTTAATTGCCTGGGCCAAGGCCTACCCAGAATTCCACATGCAAACACAGGGTGACGACAAAGTAAAAGAAAGTGGCAAAACAAAATGAAAAGCAAATTAATCAAGCTTGCCCTGGTGATTTAAGCAAATTCACTTATTTGCTTGCGATTCTGTCTGGTCAACAGGGTCTTGTATGGAAGAAGAGCAGAGCAGGATGAAACCGAGCTGAAAGTTGTTAACTGCAACGTTGAAATTAGTGGCAAAACAGACTAAGATCGTGACATAAATCTAGCTGGTAAGTGAGTCTCTCCCTGCCCTCTGCCCAAGTACCCAACACCTCCATCTCAGTGTGGCCTTGTTTTTGTATCGTAATGAACGCTCCGGGTTCTGTCTCAGCAGTGTGGGAAATGACAAGCTGGAGAAGACTTTAAAGGCTCTCTGACAGTTGTATTGCATGTTTCAGTACAGCAGAGTACAGAGGCAGAGAAAGATAGGCTAAACCTACAGGAGATATTCATCTTGCTTATTTTAATGGATTACTATTGTTTTAGTTAGTAAATGTTATTTTAATTAACCTAAACGCAATGCAATAGTACTTTAATTATCATAAGGTAGGATTACCTACTGTATGTCTCATAACCACACATACTGTACCATATACTGTAGTATATTATGCAACAGTATAGGGGTGGACATGATCATATGCTAATTGGGCTATTTGTAATGATTATTTGCATTGAACCCTTGCGAATGTTAAGACCCTTCTGTATAAACATCTTTTCTTTAAACAGGGGGACATTAAAACACGCCTTTTAAAGGTTACATTTTCTTTCCTTTTTGCCTGAAGTGGTAAAACAGAGACCACACTTAAAATACAGATTTGCAAAAATCACCCTCACTATCACCAGTGAATACAGTCTCATTGTTCATCTGAGCTGCCTTCCCAATGTAAAGTACATCTCATTCAAGTCACCAACAGATCGATTGTACTTTCAAACAGCCCTGTTTTTGTTTTTCTCCTGCTGAAGTGCAATCAAAGCCAAAACCAATCTAAGGGTCTACAAATAGAAGAATTGGAAAACCTGTATCTGTGTTTTTATTTTTGTGATGTTATAAATATTTACTATTTTTGACTCATTTAGAAATCCACAACACTCCCTATAGCTGAGAACCTCGGCCGCTCTGTAATTAACTTGACTGAGCTCATCTCGTTTATAAGCCTTGTCTGCTCGTTTCTGTGGGAAGGATGTACTGTCTGCTCAAACATTAATAACTCCAAATGGCATCATTAAGTTGTTTGAAAATTAATTTCTCAGATATTAAGTTCTGAAAACCACTTTTGAAAAGCAGAAGGAGGTAAATTCCATATCAATGATAAATTAGTGGGAGGATTAAACTAAATATTTAATTTATATTTTCTTTACTCTGAACATAGATTGTTTATCCCTTGTGAGTACACATTTTCCAGTTGCTGAAAATGTCTACTAATGCACATGACATTTGCAAAACCATTTCAATAACAATTTATTGGAATCATGCCACTAAGCCTTTCCTACATAATATGCAAAGAAAGAGAGATCAATAATATGGACAACCTTTTACATTTCCTGTACCATATGGATTTACAAAGTACAAGAATACTAAGTAGCACTGTTTTTTTCCAATGGTACAGGTGATAATTAGTGGGATTTTAATGAATTGCAGTGTTATACACTGCTGTGAAATTTGTTTTAGCATTATACTCTTTTTAAGCAAGCTTTTTCCTTCTTCATTCAAAAACAATTCTATTGCAATATCCTACTGAACATTTAGCCATTTTGTTTCAAACTAGAAGTTTATCCTGTTAGTTCTTTATTTTATAACAGGAAAAGTAGCATTTTACCTTGATACACATTTACACACAGAAACTGGAGGAACATCTGACAATAAGTCAATTATATTTGGCTGGTAAATGTGATGTATTAGGCACTACGTCTCTTCATATTGCACATGTAGTTTACCTTTTTAGTTTAATTTATATTTATATAAAATTATATAAATTACATTAAAGTTTGCTGAACCACATGTTTGGTTTCTTCTTGCCCAGCTTAAGTTCTTGTAATAGTAGAAAGCACTAATGGAGCAAACTACTTATGCTCATAACAAACTTGTTGACTATTCCAGGATATCTAAGACTTCTGCACTGCAGTGTGAGATACCAAGAAACATATGAATAGGGATAACATTTTCTTACAGCAAAAATATGTAAATATCACACATTATCATTTAGAAATCCAAGACATTCTCTATGCATGAAAAGTATGGAACAGCAGAGGTTAACAGTACAGTCAGTACAGTCATAGCTGAAAGCAGCAAATCTAATGAGTAAGCCACAGGATAAATACTTTTCAACTGACAGATTCACTCAGCGGACAACAGTTACAGTGGAATTGTAACGCTGTTTGGCTGCAGCTTCAGTCTCAAACAGAGTTTGATTTGGCTAATTGTTTTGCCTTTCATGCATGTTCGCTAGTGATTTCTATATACCAGCCCTATCCAAAAAGTTACATTTATTATGGCAACAATGCACAGTAATTTAAAACACCTGTGCTGCTTACTTTTTAAGTTTAAGATTTAGATGACTGCTTAGATTTCAAAGCCAATGTGCAAATGTACAGTTTCCATGGCAGCAGCAATAGCAGTAACAATCATACTCCTAGCCATGACATCACGGCACAACTTCACAGAACAGAGCCAGTACGCACCTCATCGTGGTCAATGTCTGCATCTCCTGTGATGACAATGCGCTTTTCAATCCTGGTCTCAGAAAGTCCACCTTTTACTGTCTGAGGGGGAAAAAGTTAATCTAATAAATACTGCACTTGCGGTAGGAGCATATGGATAAGTAACAATGGAATTTACAATTCTTCAGACATTAATTAGATGGAAAATCATAAGAAAAAAAGCAACTCTTTTTACACAGTTCTGTAGTTTCTTTACATCATATTCAGAAACTACTAATTACCAATACAGAACCATAAAAAGAACTATAAAAAAATCAACCACAAAGCCAAAATTGAAAAAATGAAATTTAATTTTAGAGAATTAATGTCTATGAAACACTTGATTCATTATAGCTTCCAATTTAAAAAGACTGAAGAGAATGGAACCTTTAATCTCTTTTTTTGGGATATTACACTAAAGAAAATATCAATTATTAATGTGACAAAATCAGAGGACAAGCTACTGCCTTTTCTTTAAAGAGACAACATTCTCAAGTGGCATGTCACTGTAACATTTGCTTGGTGACATGGCCCTCAGTGCACATTTAATGATGACAACACTCTCCCAGACTCGATTAGCTGTCATAGACATGACAGGCTTGCTAATGGCCCATCTACAATCTGCCGTCCACTCTGTTGCTAATGCTCATGCTGACAGCGACAGCATCACCGTGTGCTTCCTGTCCACACCTATAGCTAGATGGATCACTGGCCCTCTCCCATTTGCAAACTCTCTTCTTTATGTTCTCGACTAGTGACAATGAAGTTAGGGGTCACCGACTTTAGATTACAGTATTCACTCCGCACTTGTTGCTCAACGTAATTAACAATCTCTTTGGAGACCGTAATTGTTTTTGACAATGTCACTAGTATTGCATCTATGCAAGACATCGAGTCAGTTCATGAGATTTTGTGTGAAAAATAAAAGCGCAGCTGAAATTAAATATTTGTTATAAAACTCTTTTTAAGGTTTTAAGTTCTAAATGTGTATATACTGTGTACAATGTACATTTTTGACACATTACAGGATCTACGTTTATTAGTTGAAAAAGAAGTGAACCTACTGTACATGCTACAGATTTGTTCATTTGATCATGTACTGCTTTCCTTGGTTAGACTATTTCAAGATGTTAGATCTTGTTTGCCAAGGGATTACTTGCAATACCAAAGATGGTGTCTGCAGGCCAAATCTCAACACTGATATTTGACAATTACAGAACCTACATCCAATTAAAATAACCTCCACATTCCGCTTGAAATAACCCGAGATAATACTAGACACAGAAGAGAAACCATGGGTAAAACGTTTTTAAAAGAAATAAGGAAGAACAGCAAAAATGAAGACGGGCAAAACTAAAAAACAAATGTAAAACAAAGAACTTCTCGAAATCGTGGTCATCTCTGCCCCTTGACTTCTCAAACACAATGATACTAGGTGGTGCGTCACCTACCTGCCCTTCCCGAACCATTACCTTGGTAATGTGTGTAGTGGTGGTGGTGCAGAGGGATTCAGAGGTGATGGTCTGTGCAGTCATGAGAATGCCAGGTTCACCTTCTCCACCGCCATCCAGCTTCAAGACAAAAGGTACTACAAGTTCTCATGCTTTCACTCAAGGCTGTTCCTGAACTAGGACATTCAAAGAACGCCCAAAGACGAAAGAACTCTCGGGGACAAAAAGTACAAAATATGACATAGGTGCCGGACAATCCTTTGCAAGTAAAGATTACCGCAGTCAAAACAGGTGAATTAAAGAGACGTAACTGTTTACATAAGGACAGTTGTGCTTTCTTATACAGTAACAATAAAGCTGGTCAATGCACATCTTTCACTGAAGCATCTTTATGGTGAGGCTAAAGGACCCCTAATTAAACGAACTCCCATTTACCAATTACAGAGGCTGTACTGTACGTCAGTTTGAAAGTTTGGTAATTATGTGCTCCATACTGTATATTCTATTCTCACAAACTGAACTTGCATTGATCCTTTTATTTAACTGAAAATTATAGTATTAACGTGTGCAAGGAAAGCTAAGTACTTATTTTCCAATAATTCAAATCTATGCTTGTGGAGGTGCACAATAGCTTACAAGTATGTAAAGATACTGGGTGAAATCCAATCAAAAAATATGGCAGAGAATTGTTTCATTATTATCTCTCAGGAAGTCTCTCAAAAGAGTCTCTCTCTTTCCATATACAGTACTTTGAACTGTCTGGACATTTTTGGAAACATTGCCCTTTGATGTAGATGACTAACTTGTCATGATATCGTTTTTATGTATTTATACCTGAGAAGCTTCATATGTGATCGTTTTAGTCTCAGTGTGCACTATAGGAACTTCTTTTGTTGATATTTCCATTTTCTGGGCAGCGAAGGCATCAGAGATGGTCACCATCTCAGTCTTTACCACAGGAGGCTGCAAATGGAGATCAAGGCAATGAACAAAACAAACACTACAGTCTTTGTTGGCCAGCTAATCCACACGCATGCCATGAATACAAGCACAGTGCCATCCCTACAAAGGCTAAAAAGCTCCGTTCTCACAAGTGACAAATGATCTCAGTACAACCCACAAAAGTAAAAGATTGGGCAGTGAAAAGGGACATTCGGTTAACACTATCAGTAAGTAAACAGATGGTTTAACCAGTAGGAGACAGCAGATACAGAGTTTACAAGAAAAATTTACAAAAAAACTATTAAGTGTTAAAAAAACTTCCAAATTCCAAAGGATTCAACATATTTTTAAAGCTACAGGATCAGTCACAATAAATACTTTTAAAAAAAGCCAACATAAATGATCAGTACAATAATTACTAGATGTTGTTTCTCTACCAAATGAGTTATCGGAAGGTCAAGATTGTTTCTTGTGTTCAACCGAATTATGAGGGTTAAAAACTTAAAAGGAGCATTTTAGACAGGGGAAACAATTACATCGGCTTTCACACAGTGAGCTACACATGCATAGACTTCTCGTAGCAAACCACATTCGACAGACAAGAACACATCACGCTTCCACTAAACAACACAAAACACATTCACATGGACCAAGACTGGGACACGGAAATAAATCATAAAAAATAAGTGAATAATCAAGTTGTAAAATGCAACTAAAATTTAATGAAAGAATGAAATATTTCAACTGACAAGGGCTGCTTCAGTTTAAGAGAGGCAGCCAGAAACCAAGACCGAAGCAGGCAGAGCTTGTGCTGCATGACCAGCATGTTTCTGCATGGGGAGGTAACGGCGTTTTTTTGTCAAGCAACCCACTGTGAAAAAGAACAGGGCTTCAATCCCCACTCATTCGCTCTTAGGTTTTCAGCAACAGCAGGAATGGGAAGACAGCATGAGAAAGCGGCAGGTGGCACCAAAATGAGTCCAGGTCAAGAAAACCTCGGCGAGCCGGAATTTACCTCCGAGCAACAGATAACCTGCGGAATGTGCTCAGTTTCACCGTGAAACATGTCTCCGTTTACTCTGGGCTCCTCCACCGTCGCTGCTTCGGGCAGCTCCTCTGTCTCCGTTCGGCCATCCTCCTCTTCATGTTCCTGATCTTTCGGCTCTTCGACATCTTCCTCCACCGCAGCGTCTGAAGAAGAGAGGGGTACTGCGACTTCGCCTGCTGGCGTCTCTGCCGCATGCACGCTCTCCTGCTGGGAGCCCTTCTCCTCTGGTCCTGCTTTGACCTGGTCCGGGGACACGCCAGTCACTTCAGGATGGTACTCCGCTTCGTCCTCGCTTTCGCTGTGGCTGCCCGAGGATGTGCTAGCCCTCCTCTCCTCCTTCTCCTGCTTCACTGAAGAGTCGCCAATCTCTGGGCTAACGGCGGCCTGAGCTCCCGTTTTAACTTTGGGGGTTCTCCTGATCTCTTCAATGACTACCGTCTCTTCTATCTCAACCTCTGCCTGCTCGCACGTCTCTGGTTTCTGTTTGTCATCTGAGCTCTACACAGGGAAACAAAACAGAAACGGATGGAAAACGCAAACATACGTGATGAAAGCAAAACAAAAAAAACAGAAGGGAAAATTAAAAAAAGACAAACAGATGGTGAATGGATCACACGTGGTGTTTTGTGAAAGGTGTAAAACAGAAGGAAAAAGGAAATCGTGAATGCTGAAATAAATGAACTCGAAATGTGTAGTAGAAAATGGTGCGATACTAAATGGATCTTATAACTCAAGTCCACCTCGGTAACGTCTTTGCTGCCTGGCTGAGATCCATCTGCTCTTGTTGGGGTTTTCTGTGGAACATAAGAGTAACCAAAGGAACCAGTCACTCAGACTTTACTATCATCAAGAGACACAACTATAGCACTGTACAGGTCCCACAGAATAATACTCTGGATACTATGGAAATAAATGAGAAATATTTTTCTCTTGCCCTACAGCAAATGACTATGACCTTTTTAAAAATGCACACTTTTACGTGCACTGTCACAAAAGTGTATAAAGAACCCTTTACAGTCCTATAGTATTTTAAATTACAAACAAAGCAATGAACTGCACAATAAAAGCCTAATGAAGCCAAAACTGTTATTAGCACAAGCAGTTATAATGAAAGAATGATTTACTGATTACAAATGTTAAACCTAAATTTATGGCCAGTCCTTTAATCAATGAAAAGCAGCAGAGAATTAATTTCTGAGAAAGAGTAATACTAATTAGCTTCACAAAAAACATTGTCAACCATTAAATAACATTCAGCACTGTTTGCAAAACCCTTTAAAGTCTACCCGTCTGTTACAGTAAGACAGTTTGATTAGCTACAAAGGTTTTACAAAAGGTAAATAGGTATACGCATAGGATATACTCGGGTCTAGTATGTGATCAGAGTGAAGCTGATTCTGGTCTTTCTGCAGTGTTAAGAGAACATGACTCTCCCTTGGATACTGTCCATTGAGAGGTACCCACTGCACTTCTCCTACTGCACTTCTTTTCCAGTTGAGCAAACTAGAGCGGTCAAGAGACCAGAGCCCAAGGCCATAAAGGGGGGAATACAGGTACTAACCACTACACAATGCTCCCCCACAACAGGAGCGAAAAGACACTAAGATCCTCTGAAATACTGGTGAAATATAAACATGTCTGGTAGAACAAGCATCATGTATTTTTCTTAAAGTGAGAGCCCTCAAGGTAAATATACCACTGATTACATATTGATTAATAGTAAAATGGCAAGTTATCTGTATATGAACGTAACGAGAAGAGGTACTTTTCCTTAGCATCCACCTATCCATCCATTACCGTAAAGCTGCGGAATTTAGAGACCCCAATTAACCTAGCCAGCATGTTTTAAGGGGCACAAAGAAACGGCCCAGATAACATGAAAACTGCCTGCAGGAGGAGTCCAAAGCCAAAATTAAACCGAGCACTCAAGAGCTGTGAGGCAGCGGCGCTAACCACAGATCAATTCACAGTTCAGCCCCCTTTTCCTTTAGATACCTCCAATCCCCTACTGTAAATACTGGTGCACTACTGGTGCCCTTGGCTGCTGTCGCACCATCCAGGTGGGGCTACACGTTGGTGGTGGAGGGGAGTACCCAAAACTTGTAAAGAACTTTGAGTGGAGTGTCCAGAAAAGCGATATGTGTAGGGATTTCATTATTATTTATCAAGTGTATTACAATTCTTAATTTAATGATGATGGACTGAGCATAAATTTAGAACAGTAATCCAAGATGGAGCTATGGGGCAGCACAGCAGAAGATGAGGCCTGTTAGTGTTTGACTTAAACACCAAACTGTTTTACAAGGAAGCACCTCAGCAGGCTGTGTGGCCAGACAGAGAGAAAGAGACTCAGGTGGAGCTATGACAATAGCACCCTCTGTTGTTCGCTTGGTGGCAGAAGAGAAGAAACCAGTGAAACCAGCAGAAAAGCTTTCTTTACTTAATAAAATGGTTGTTATCTCCTCTTCTAAACTCTACACAGGTTAGAAAATGAGAAGTAAAGAATCAAGAGTTAAGGCAAGGCAGGGACAAGACGACACCTATGAAAAGAAAACACGAGTTATTTCCATGAAGAACCACACTACATGCGAAAACCATAATACAGCAAAAAACAATTTTTATACATCTGCAATTTCAAGCGTAGGATTTTAAAATTACGGGAATAGTTCAAGGGATGAGATCTCTTTTGTCATACTAAATGCAAGTAATTTTATTAAGCAAAATGTACTGTATATAGACATTAATGCCACTAAGCTAATCACATTTTTATGCAGCTTTATACCATGACCAAATAAAATCAAAGATGACTATCACAGCAAAGAAAAACCAAACACAATTATTTTATAATGATTTGAGAGTGACAGATAACATTAAAATATTAAGCATAAAACAAGGTCGTGGACATGGGCTTAAAAACCACTGAAGTATAACATTTCAGAAAGGCTTAGAAATGAAGAACATGGACTTGAGGCAGCGGGACAGAAACATGTACAGTAAACCAAAATGCTAAGACACTTGCCATCTTCCAAGTTTTAGCTTAATCATTATTCCTGACTTTTCATGGGTGTGAAATACAGAAGTCAAATGATGATACCAGAACACAGGAATTAAACTATATAAAAACCCAGGTAATCAAAATGCATGTCAAGCACACAGATACAGATGACTGGAAACACCTTCATAAATAACCCAGAAGATCCAAGGTACCCTAGTTCAATGATTTCTCTTCTTACAAATCTGGAAATTCAGCTTCCCACACTCATCAGGTAAGTAAACAAAGTGCTATCTCCATGTACTGTATATACACGAGTATGTAAACTGCATATATATATACACACACACCCAATTGCAACAAAACAGAAACAGAAATCCTAAGTCTTGCACAAAGAGAACATCTAAATCAAAGAAAAGTAGATAGAATGAAATTATACAAAAAGCAACTTAAGAGTCCAACAAATCTCTGTACTACAGTAGATTTGAATGTGTAGCATCTCAGACAATTATGCTAAAGAGTTACATATAATTAAGTAGAAATGAGGGGAATATGACCATTTTAAGGTTATTAAGCTCTGTGTTCTTACCATCAAGGATACGAGGAAGGTCATCCCGTTTTCATATTTTATCTAAAGATGTATTTATAAAGTCACTCTACAACAGTGCAGCTCTTTGCTGGTCAGAGACAATACCTCATCCAGCCCTTCATGACAACTAGCAGTGCTGGATGATGAGCTGCTGGCTGAAAGCAGCACTGCTATGACACCTGGGGTAAAGTACAACGACCGGCGATCTTTTCAAGCTGTTCCAGAGCAAGTTCGTGACTGCACTGCTGCAGAGTCCAACTGATCTACAGTATGTGTAAGTGTGGTGAGTGAAATGTTACACGTTAATTATATTAGTGTGATGGAGAGAGAAGGATCCCATCTGCCACCTGAGAGGAAAACCCCCTTTCCTTCATGCCGTGAGAAAACCGGAACGCCCCCAGCACGCAGGCGGATTGGACACATACCCCTTGTGTCTGCAGAGGCAAGGTTGCAGTAAGACGCTTTTCCCACTGATTTGGGCGTGGCTCAGGTGAGGATTCCATAAAAGAGCGCTTTAATTCACTAATACTAGCCTGATGTTTCAAAACATCCTCCTGGGTCTTATCCAGGTCCTAGCAGTAGGGGACAGGGTCAGCAGGGAAACAAAATGGGACAACGAATAACAAGGACATTACATTTTTTAAATAAAAAGGAAAAATAAAATATGCCAAGTCTCACTGACAGCTGAACAATAAAGAGAAAATACGACTATCGTCATAGCAAAAATATTCACGCTAAAAAATATTTAGTTGACCTACAGCAACAAGAACTATTATGAGTGTACCTAATTGAGGCTCCTGATACAATCAGTAGATGGCACAATTGTGCTATAGATAGTGCAGTACTGCCACTTCAATGCAAAATATAATGTATTTTTAAGTATTTCAAAACCATTAGTATTTAGAAATGTATATATCTTATTTCTGGATAGAAACTTATTGGAATTCTGAATTTTCTATTTACAATGAACTGTATTTGGAAACCTTTGGTTTGTATTCTGTGAAACGTACATGTTTTATTTCAGTGAGTCGTGGCATATTTAGCGCTTCTGCTCTTTGTCTCAATGTGCAGAAATATACACAAAAAATTAAATGGTCAAGTAAATATAATGAAACGTAACAATACCTTGCATATTTTTCAAAATTTGATTGTCATTCATTCAGTCAATAAAGAACTAAATGAAATGATGAAAGAGCTCCTCTACATAGGACGTCGCATCCTGAGACATGAGGCACAATGTGTGTTTTGTCAAAATGATCACAGGATCACCGGGGATCCTCCTCCTTCTTCTCTCACCTCAGTTCTGAGCTGCAGAATCACCAGAGTTGCAAGGACGCCAGGTCAAAACGTTGAATAAACATTGCGTCTGTATAATAATACAATTCAGACCAGTACCATAGTGTGTCTTCCAAAGACCCATACTTCAATGCAGCAAAGACTGAATCCAGGGGAATGGCTTGGATTTTAGTGCTTTTCAATTATTGTTCGTATATGGGGAGGCGGCGGAGGACATAGTGTTGTCGTCATTCATGTTAAATGAATTTTTCACATGTAGTGCAAGGTTCTCCAAATTGTCGTTTGGGCTTTTTGTTCAAGGAACAGTATTCCCCAGTGCTCCAAGGTCCAAGCTGCATGGACAGCAAACAGCTGCTAGCATCCAGTTGGTATTCAGGTCACGGTCATGCTGTGGACTCATGACGTTTAGCTTTAACTCTGTAGCAACGGCCTGGTGCTTGACTGTGTCCAAAAATCCTTTGCAAGATCAGAGCGCCTCAAGCCTCTTGCAGGCACAACACCTTTGGACCCCGCTGGAGCCGACACCAGGCTCACCATCCACAGATTCAGCAAGTGGACCTCGTCATATCAGAGGGTTTCCACACAAGTAACTCTACAATCTTGAGCATCACGGACTGAATATCATTTTCAAAGTTTGGTCTTCTTATTCTCTTACATTTGACAACATTTTCCCAAAAGCGATGTCATCTGACATCCTGTCCTCTTCACCTTATAATGTTTAAGCTAGCAGATTAAGTGCTAAGAAGACATCTGTGAATGTTGTTACAGTGTACGCCTAGTTACCATTGCCCTTCATCATACTCTTCATCACAGGATTTTTGTAATCTACTGACCATTTAATTTTTTATGTACATAGTTAGAAAACATCTAAGTGAGCTTAGTTTGTTACCATATCATAAATACTGTATTAAGCTTGTGATATTAATAAGAAAGCTACCAAAGCAGCAGTCCTCCTTTATTTAGGAAAAGATTAGTCTGGTTATGAACACGTTTACCAGATAAATCAGAAATCTGCATCTGATTGTGGCTGCCTAAACAAAACCTTGGAACAATAACATCCCCTCTCCCAATAAAAAGAACAACATAAGCAGGTGATTCACAGTGAATACTGTATGAAGGCAAGTATGCCGGTACTGGAAGATTCACATGCACTCAGGATCCCCATGCAAATCATGCACAGTGTCCACAGACAGAGCCTGTGAGTGAAAAGCAGTCTTGAGGAGCAGCAGCCCAGGACAGGAGCAAGAAACAGCTGTTTTATACCAACCTCCAACATTAAATTGCTATGTCTGACATATATATTTTCCCCCTTTACTCTCAATGACTTCGTCTGTGGAATCAAAATGAAATAAGACATTTGCAAAATGCAAAAAGCAGACAGTCCAGAAATAAAAAAAACACCAATCAAAGGAATGTCAAAACCACTGAGGGCACAAAAAAAATAACTTGTTTTTTTTTTAACAAAAACAAGCTTTTTAAATAGCTTCTAACTACATAACACCTCAAAACACTGTGTTTAGAAATGATCAGTGTTCACCTTCAGCATACACTTTAAGGTAACTATATAAAAGGAGACCCAACAGCCAATTTAGTTGAAATGGGCAATATGAGACACTGACAGAAACGCTGTACTGTACGGAACAGAGTTCTGCTGAAATTTAGAATTGTAGCAGGTGAATGAAAAAATGAGTAATGACCACTATGGCTGTTAAAAAGCCAGAAGCTGAAGACCATTTAGCTTTGGTGGTATGTAACTAGACAGCTACTAAACAGTGCATGCCCCGGTCATTACAATAAAGCAGAACAGAACAAAAAAAAAATCAAAAAGTACACCACTGGCACCACACAGCTGACTTTTCCTGCCCAAACACAAAGAGAAGCTGCAGCAAGGAAAACGCCCAGGAATCCTACAAACAAGCCATCCACCTCCAGCTGCTGCGAGTTTCCTTCTTCTCCTTCCAGCTGTGTCAGGTTACCCACAGAGCCCACGAAAGACAGCACACCTTAGCGCAGCAGGCCATTCTAGTATCTAAAGCATGACCAAGTGATTTCAGAAGCAGGAAACGAGGAACCACAGAATGTGCACTTCCTTCACAGACCTCAGCCGCTCCCGCCTCTGTAGCTGGTGCTGTCGCGCCATCCACCTGCTCTCCTTCCACCTATACCGTTGTAGAAATGGTTGAAGGAGCGTTTGCAAAAAGATGAAATGGAAGATGGGAGGCTTCATTCTAAGCAGCACTACAAACAATGTGGTGGAGAAAGCACCATCCCCTCTGTGGTTCGCAGGCAGTGATTAACAGCGCTCAATGAGAAGACACGACAAGGGAATGCTGGTCTTGAAGATCTTGCACTCCGTTTTTTTCTGTGCATTTCGACAAACTCAAATAATTATGGTCACTGATTTATAAGATGTTCCGAGAGCAAATTTGCAAAGCAGCTCTTCTGGAACCTCTGCATTTACTGCAGATGTTAAAGGGGCTTTTTTAAATGTGCCTTATATTTGTAGACTACTGCACTAAGACTAGAACTACCTTATATTTGAAAGGAGTTTTTCCGAAGATAACAAAGCAGTATAAACAACAGTATACAAATAGCACTGACAGTATAATTATCCTATAACATTGCACTGACCTCCTTTTTAAAATGAAAGCAACACCACTTCACATACAATACAATGTACTTATTAGGAGCTAGACTACAGTTTCCTGAATTTTGTAGAGCGAAGTGCTTTTATTTTGTATAAGATTGCCTTTATTTTTTATATAACGCACTTATTTTCGGCCTTAATGTTTATTTCCAACAAACTGAATATAAGCGCCTTGGGGCAACCTTCTTGTGAAAGGCGCTATATAAAAATAAACTGAACTGAATTTATTAACAAAACTGGAATTTGTGATTTCACCGCCTTCAAGCTGGTGTTTCAATCAGTCCTATTCTTCTATTTTACACAGAAAATCTTGCAAGGCTTAAGAAAAATAAAACAGAAAATGGACGGAAAAAGCATGAATTGCAACAATCAAGCAGCAGGGTTACACACCTCCTCTTGCTCTGGTTTGTCAATCAGGTCAAAGTCACAAGGGGCGCTAAAAGAGGGCGCCTTAGGCTCCAGGTAGCAAAGGGACAGAGCGAGAGGAAGGGAGAGGGTGAGGGAGAAGGGGAGGGACTGGGATGCAGAGAGAAGCAGGGCGAAAATGAGAAAGAAGGAGGGAATGAGGGAGGGCGAGGTGATGGGGAGGTAGGGCTGAAGGCCAGGGGGCATGAAAGAGGCACAATCTTCGGGCAGAGAGGGGAAACAGATATACCCATCCTCATCCAGCAGCGAGGGCAATCTGAGGCTTTTGCACAAGCCAAAGAACGAGAAGTGAAATTCAGATTTTATCTCCACAGAGGTAATGCTTCCTTCTGCCAAGTCTGTGCTTGCGGGGGGAATGTCGTGGTTGCAAATGGGGACGTCTGGCAGGGAACGTGTTGTGACATTCTCATGCTCTGGTGTGGCCATGCTCTCGGCATGCTCGTCCGAACTGGGAGTGGGAACACCAGGGTGCTCCTGGTCCAGTTCTCCAAATGACAAGGGGTCGTCCTCCGAGATGTCAGACAGGACGTCCAGCTCAGAGATGGTATCCAGGTTCATGGAAAGGGATGCAATGGAGCCAGTTGGCGAGAGAGGGCACATGTGTAGTGACTAAACAGAAACCAACACCCCCCACCCCAGGCCGGATAAAATTGCAAAGTAAAAACAATAATGTGCATGACAAATCGTACAGAAAGAGTGCGCGGAAAAAGAAAGGAAAAAAAAGAAACAGAAGATTAGTCTGTCGAGCATCTCAAGTCAGGAAGTGCAGCAGATTCAACAAATGGAAGCAGGCGAGACTAAAAGCATTGCAGTAAAGGGGAAAAACAAGTGCATATTAGCACTGGGGTGGGATACGAGCACAGTCTAGACCCCCCCCTGGCATTTTCAAAGGTAGTTACATTCATCCTGACTGGTGAGTAGAAAGAGATCCAGTGAGCCGGAACAAAAACTGAAATGGCTTTTAAGAACTGGAAGCAAGTAAGATTTCATAATTTTAATTACCGGCACATGAAATTCAAGATATTATTAAATCTGAGCATTAAGAGTGTTCAACTGACTGTGAAAGGAACTTCCTATGGATTTAAAGATTAATACACTTGTCAAACCTGTTCAAAAGTATGAAAAAAGACAAACAGCTATCAAGTCTTGCATTCATGTGTTCAAAAAGCTCACAACAACCATGACTAGGTCCCCAATTGCTCCAATAGCAAGAGAAGATGCTGAATACAGTCTTTGATACCAAATTATATGACACTAAAAACAGTCTTTGATAAAAAAAAAGAAATGCTTTGTGGAATAATTCATTCACAACAAAAACTAAAGTCAAGCTCAACACTGTCTTACTGTTTACTAAATAAAACTGTTCAGTGTGTCCAGTTCATAAAGACATATTGTAGCAGGAGTTTAGCTTTTAAGCACAGGAGACTTCTTTAGACATGTTTCAGCTATAACTCCCTAGTACTAAATCACATTCCTATATTTGCTTAGACAAGGAGTTCTTTGTTTGTAAACTGAAATAAGCATATCAAAATTGAAATTATCAACCAATGAATTAAGTACCCAGGTGCACTTTGTCAGTGAAATATTGGCTTAAAGGAGAGCAAAAACACAAAGGCTGCAGCACTACAAAAGATTAACCTGGACTGACTGAGTATCGAAAAGAAAACAAGTCTCTTTCCACCCAATGCTTTATTATGGAAATCTTTAGAATATTTGGATAAATATATCTCAGGATATATACAGTACATCTCATACCGAAAAGTACGTTTTTAAACTATCAGCTGCTGAAGAAAGACAAAAACATTATTTGCAAGCACAATCACAAACGGAACATTACTGAAATGCCTGTGCAATGCTGCACATTTGCAGCTTGTGCAGGAGCTCAGTGGCATTTTGCTGTGGTCAAGAACACTGCCCTTCGTCCTCCACAGCGGCCCCCAGGACGCCGAACAGGATCCGGCCCACCTTACCTTGGACTCCTGGGACAGCTCCAGGGCTGTTCTGGGGAGTGTCCCGGCATCTCCACTCTCCCTGCCTGCCACGCCGTCTGCCTTCCCAGCGGCATCAGGCGGCAGGCTCTGGTCAGCGATGTTGACCACAGGGGCTGAAGAGTCAAGGAGACGCTGCATTACAATCCCGCAAGGCCGGATAGTAAAGCACTTCGGTCCCGGCTCTAATCCCACACTGGATCAGAATCATCCCACTTAGTCAGCTGGAGAAGGAAATCATTCCCAGCTCTTTAAAAGAAAACAGTGTGCTCTAGAAACGATTTCTGCTGAAGTAAACCACGAATTTTGAACATACCATATGTCAGGTGCTGGGTTGGCGTATACAATTTCAAATACTTACTATTTACACAGAATGGGTATTATCCCAGAAAAAAACAGTTTCTGAAATCAATGACACGGGGGCACTGCAATAACTTTCCTGATGCTGAAAATTTCATAAATACATACGCAATACATATTTATGTATTTTGCAAAATTAGAAAATCTGTAACTGGACAATGTACTCTGCCATTTAATTAACAACGCACATGTAAACTACACAATGAAAACAACACTAGAAGACACTGGAAATCGGAAGCTCTTAGGTGATCCCAATCTAATACTGTACACACAAAATGGTCACAGCTCATAAACTTGCTTATAAGAGAAACTTCTGTCGCATTCATAAGCAAGGTATTTAAAACCTGATTTCTAAAACTACTGCAGAAACGACTAGAGCAGAAATTGTGTAAAAAAGTATTTATCCAGATAGGGTTTAGTGAGAAAATACTACAAGTACTTAATCCATACAATTTAGCACATATGCTAAAACATTTTATCAAGCAGAAGTCCTATCAAGGTATTTCAGCAGTTTCAGCAGCGGTTAAACCCAGTCTAAAATGGATTAGAGATGTAATTTGAATTAGTTTGATTTATCGTCTTAACCTGTCTCCCTCATTTTCTGCATTATCAGAAACTAAAATTCACTGTATACAACCGAAATGCCAGGAAAAATATGATTTTGTTGTTGAAAGCTTGTGAGCATTTCTCAGAAAATGTTGATGTAAATTTAATTTTTGAATTGTAAAGGAAGCCATTCCATACTGATGTTCTCCCCCCAAATCAGTAACTGGTAATGATGTTAATTTAACAATATGGTACTATAACGTTCACACCATGAGAATAACATCCTGAGTTAGAACTTCAGAAATGACTGGGAGACAATTAAACCCTCCATTTGCAAAGCAGTAGAAGTCCACTAGGTGGAGCTGCAACACAGACTTCTTATGATGGCAAAAAGCACACTGACTCCTTTTTCTCAAGATGAAGTTATTGTATTACTCCCCACTTAAAAGAATTACTGCTCTAATCCAATGATCAATCATTGGTCATTTCTCATAATCATGGAGTATGTCTCATCACTGGCAAGTACTGGGAAGGTTTTTTTTTCTCAACTCTCTAGAACTGGACAAAGGAACAAAAAATACAGGAGCTTCTTTTATCTGATTGAGTGAACAGAATGAAACATTCTGCAGCAGACCAGGTGTGCATAGTATTATTCTGGGAAGCATAATTAAAACAATAAAATATCATTGCTTAATGAGCAAATAAACCCTAGACCCTATAACCCTATAACCCTAGACCCTAGATCTTCAGTAGGCCTGGTTTAAAGACGTCAAAGAACATAACTTTGTCCAGCACAGCTGTGGACAGATTGTCTTTAAACAACACAAAACAAAGGTAAACAGACACAACACTGTATTACTACATTGCAGTAATTCATAAAAGTCAGCTAAACGCTATGAGGGTGCTGAACAAAAGTGAAAGCAGAGTTGAAAGAAAGAAATCTGAAATCTGTGAAAACGGATTGCTGCTATGACACTGGCTCCTACGAGGGACAGTATCCATTAGCAGAAGGCTCTTCCTGAAGCTCAGGCCCGGAGCCCACGGGCAGCTCACAAGCCAGACTGCTCTGCGATTCACTGCTGTAACTCTATCTGTGCTGGATATACAATAAGCTTTATGTCATGAGATCACAAGACTGACGCCGCAGTATGACAGCAGAACCAGATGTCATTTGCCTTTGAGGCCATCGAAAGCTTAGCTACACACCATAATAAATTGATGAGATGAAGTCTGTTTGGGGAAAAAAATCCATTACCACCACCTCTAAAACCATTACAGCTAGTACTAAAGGATGAGCACAGGCAAAACCAATATCTGTCTGCTCTGCTAGGTTTTGTCAGTAGGGAGGAATGGTAAAGTGCCCCTGAGATTTTGTTTGCGAGAAATGAAAAGATGTTTTCTGAATTACAACTAAAACATGTTTGCATAAATTACCAATCTGGACTTAAATAAAAAAAAATAAAACTGATGTCAATGTAATTTTTGTACAGGCCTTGCACAGAGCATAGCATGTAAATCACCTCTCAATATTAAATTTACTGATGAAAGAAGCCAGTGAAAGGGCAGAGGAGAAACAAAAAGAAACACAGAAAAGCCTTGCTTGATTTTTGCCAACACGAAGACCTTTCCAAGTGTGAAATTATATAACACACCTTGGCTGCAGTACTAAAACACACATTTACAGTCTCTATTGCTGAAATGGATCATGTCCCCTGATCACAAACTTTGAGGACGGGTATGAATTTTAGAATTGTTTGCTACTGAGGCAAAGCAGGAATTTAAGGAAATACAAAAACAAGAAAAAAGGACCCAATACAAAGTCATAACATTTTAAAGGCTGTCAGAAACAGAGGGAATATCTGGGATCATAAAATTCTGGCACCAGATTTGATGCAAATCCCGTTTCTAAATGTTACCAAATATTCTGGGTGTGGTTCCCATTCAGCACACGTGTCCTGTCAGAATAGCAGACGTCTCCCCCAGAACAGCACGAGTCCAAGTGAACACGTCACTTTCTGTCCTGTTTTCTGAAGAGGCTTGGACTGAGAGGTGAAAATGAAAGCCAGGTGTGCCAGGAGGAGCACGTATAAAATCAGACTTAAGGAAGTCCTAAAAACCACGTGTGCCATCCATCCGTCTAGTAACTCCTCTCTCTTGTCTCTCTTGACCTTCTCCAGAACAGTCCTCAAGCGTCCTCTGCTGACTTACATAAACGGCAAGCCTTTTCCCTCAAGAGCTGATGTGCGATTTAATAAGGTCCCACTGCCTTCCTCCTGAGGGCTGATCCAGGCGGCTGAAAACATTGTTAGTCAGATAATAATTTATACCCCAAACTGTGTACTGCAGCAACAGGCTCCTTTGACCAAAGCAACTTTGAAATACCATAAACAGCACATTGTCAAGAATAAACATTAAAACAAGATTACAAAATATTCGCCATAAAATTACCCTCAGTAGTTACACACTGTTGTGCATATCCACCCAAATTCTAACCAGCTGCAGGAGCTGGCTGCAGGCCTTGAAACCACTGTTTAATTCCAGTCTCAAAAGGAAGTCCAATGGCTGTGATAAAGCTCTGGTTACTGAGCTCCAGCTTACTTAAGATAGAATCAATACGTACAGCTTAAGCACACTTTGCAAAAGCTAAACAATTATTTGCAAACAATGATTTTCTCTCTTAATTTATATTAGGTCCAATTCAGATTGTCACTGCTAACGATTACAGATAATAGATTTTTTTTTTCATTTCGAAACTGACGATACCTGGAGACGATGATTTTTATTTCTTGTGTTTTTGTCTTTTTAAATCTTGAACACCTTAGGCTGATGCCTCGTGGTTAATGAGAGGCACTGGGGCTCCAGTTAGATGCTACCCACGCTGATACTGTATCTCAAGATGTTGAAAGTCTTCTGCCCTCACAGGTTCAGCCATTGTTTAGGAAGAACTGGCACTGCTCATTGCATAGGGTCACTGCTCTTAAATCATGACATAATTGTGAAGTGTATTAGTAACTTTTTTTTTTTTACAAATATGACACCAGAAAAGAAACCTGCATGGTTTACAGAGCTGAAGTATTTTTTTAAAGTCTGTATCTGTCTCATTTCTCCCAGATATTTAAAAATAATAATCTAGTTGTATCTAACTACGAACAGGTTAAAAATCACCAGGATTTCTGTACGTTGGCCAACAGTCACAAATAAACAAATCCCAGTTCCTCTAAGACTAAACTTTTTAACACTTTGAGAACACACCCACCCTACACCTCAATGCATGTGCAGTAGGAGAGCTCGTGTCCAGTTCACCCACTTCGAACTTTCTTACCTCCATCAAGACTCCTAGACACCCGTTTACTGGAGGTCCTCTCAAAATAGGGGGCTGGCCTGTCGATGAGCGTGCTGGCCTGCCGGGTCTGAGCCTGGGTGCGCCCACTGTACCGGAATTTGGAGCCCAGCGTGAGGAATTTGGCTTTTGGCGGCTGCTCAGGTGCTACCAACCTTTAACACCCCAAAACATAACACACAAACGTTAAGAGCTTAATAAGTATAAAAAAAAGACACATTTAATCATGTTCCTTTAAGTGCAACATATCTTAAATGTTCTACAATGTTGAGTATTCAAGTCAGTAGTAAAGAAACACTGCCTCAGGATGGTTGTCACATTATAACCTAGTACTCTGATAAACAACCCAGTTTCCAGTGCAGTGTCTCAGTCTTTGCACATATGCTTGTACCCCAGAGTATAATCAGGTCTGGAATGTGCTAGAAATTACGTCCTTTCTTTCCACAGTTGTGAGGTACTCTCTCTAACAGCTGCACTTCAGATGAGATGTCATCAGAGGTGGGGGCTTGAAGAGCCGAAGGCTCCTCCACCTCTCTGGAGCACAAGAGACTGTATCCCGAAGCACACCCTGAACCTGAAGACTTCCAGTATTGCAGGCTCTACCTACTGACTCACCCACAGCAACATAATCAGGATGCATATCATGCCTTTCCCAAGGCCCAGTTCACACTACGGCATTCCAGGGGAGAGAAGCCTTCCCACAGCTGCTGTATGCACCACAGCTCAGCAGAGGGTGGGGCCAGGCTGAGACGCCGGTGGCACAGATTCAAAATTCCTCTCTCCAGATGTTTTTTTTTCTGGGTTACAAGCTATGCAGCATTGCTTCATAGAAGGCCACTAATGTAACACCAACAGCCATAGCGCTTACATTTTGCCCCCCAAAAAAGCTATCGCTTGTACGTGGGTCAAAGTGAGGTACAGATGGAAGAAGTCAACTCTATAACCTAGCAACTGCTTCATAATCAGAAGGAAGGGTGTTAGAGGTTGATAGGGGAGCAAGAACATGGTTATCAGCAGTGAAGCTACATTAAAATTAAATCAATGTTTTATCAGTCCCTTACAAACTTGTAAGTTTGTGAAACTGCTTGATATACAGTTCTCAAAGAGGTTTACACTGTACACATTCAATAATAAGAAAAAAAATAACCAAATGTATGAAGCACCTAATAATTTGCTGTTTATTTTTATAGAATATCAGCAACTAGGTCATGCATTAGTTTAATCTAAAAATTAGTTAAAAGTTTAGTCGGCTTGCAAAATACCTTTTATAATTTGCAAAATATATATTTTGGGGACATTCATAACATATCTATGGATATGATCTCTACAAACCAAAGGAATTTGAAGAATGTATTAAATATATTTGCTGGAAAACATCTGAAAAGCAACTCAATTTTTCCTTTCACACAGAAAATACGAACTGATGGAGTGAAGGGTGTGTGTGGATAAGGGCCTATTAATAAGCTATTTATAATAATATAAATTTAATATAAAATTATTTAACATCTCATGATGTTATCATAAAAAACACACAGAGAGGATAGTCTTTGGTGTAGAATCTGTCACAAAATTTGTTTCCCATCTAGTGTGAATCAATATTTAATGAACGCTTTATCCCAATTTGTACTTGATATGAGGTATTTTATTACAATACTTAACAGACAAAAGCATAATTATAAACACAACTAGGTAATCTCTGAAGACTTATACACTTTGTCTCTTTGGTACCAAGCTTCACTGTTTTTAGAGATGATATATTGATATATATACAATATGATATATTGATATATAATGATATATATAATTAAAAAATAAGATTTAAAATTCTTTGTTTTTAGGAAAAGGGCATTAGGAAATCAGGTCAGACAGAACTATTATGAACATCCAATTCACAATACTTCAAAGACAGGTCACTCAATAGACAACCATTCCAAAGGCACTGAAACAGAGGGCAAGAAATAATTTAATGAGACAATATATTAAACCATGCTTAATTAATTGGCAAGTTTTACATTTTCTAAAAAATAAATAAAACTGAAAGTATACACCTCTGATTTAGAGCCATGTATGAAAAACTTTACATTTTGTGTTGCTGTTTATCATTTGGATTTTGTCATAAATGGATTAAATTTACTTTATTTGTCATTCCTTTCTAGAGCTACAGTACATGGCTAAATTAATTTGGAAAAATAAGCAAAGTAGCAAAAAAAGTTAAAAACATAAAGGAGCTAGTCTGTAACCAAAAGGAAACCAAATCTATATCGCTCTTAATCTCACAAATGTGCAATATAGATTTGGTTTCTTGTGGATACCAAGTTTTCCAATGTAAGTAAAACATTTCAACATTGGATTTGAAAGCACAACATACAATTAAAAACTGTCAAAAGACAGTTTCACTATAAAAAAAATCTGGGCAGGTATTAGAAATGAATTTGGATCCAGCTTGGAACAGTAAGTACGGCGATGATAACGATCGAAGCCACACGTAGCTGAAGCACAGTGAATGATTAGTGGACCAAGCCCAGTAACCATAGTGTTAAGTAAATCCTTGAAAACTATCCTGTTCAAAGTTGCTTAAGTGTGTTTCTGTAAGTCAAGCATTGAAATACTTTCAGTAAGTAACTTGGGTATTTAATGACTTGGAAATAACTCAACTGGGGTACAGCGCTGTTGCTAGAGGGAGTGCAACCATATATTACCCAGTGATCTGCTCTCCATTTGTGATGTGAAGGAAGAGCTAAAGCCTAACTTTATTCTGGCTGCACAAAGAGTGTAGCCATATACTGTAATCCGAGTTTGAAAATTAACTTGAAATATGCAGTGAAAGATCAGAATTACTGACAAATGATGTAATGTCTTTTTGGGGTTCCAAAAGTACTAGAAAAAAAAACGTGGGCATTACATTATCAGACAAAACTAATGCTGAAATTAATGCTATATTTTTTTAGTCTTTTGAACAAAAATTCTCCCTAATTTAACCCAACAAAGCATGAAACTACTACTCAATACAGTCTTGGTCGTGCACTGCAAGCATGCCAGATGATCTCCTGTCGATGCAGAAATAGCAGATGACATAGAAATCAGAAATGCACTTAAGCTTCTCTACCGTTCTGCTATAATGCATACTGTAAAGCCAAACTATAAACCTGTGCAAAATCCAGTTACTTCAGGTACATTTTGTTCGTAGTAACATGCAAGGAGGAAGCTACGGTACGCTATCTGACTCAGATTTCAGTGATTTCAGTCAAGAGGGCTCCACACACCTGAAGAAAGTGTGGTGCTCCACACAAACCTTCCACAACTTCTTGGCAGCCTTGTGGTTTGGCAGCTTGAATCCAATGGTGCTTTCAAATTGCTCTGTCTGGAAGAAATCAGTTGGATCCATTACTTCCTCTGAGCGTGTAATAGGATAAGATATGGAACACCTGCTTGAAAAGAACTACTGCCATGCCAGACAATTTAGGTTTAACATGGATGGGGGGAAAAAAAAAAATCTCAGATTTTCCATTTGTGCAATCAAGACTGTTTTCAGAGACTTTCTTCTAGATGCTAACCGAGTCTTTTATTATTATGGAGTATACCGTCTGTAGAAGGAAAATCTATCTGATGCAGTACTAGCATTCACTGTGTTTCGGTGAAAAACAGTTCTGTTGTTTCTTACCTCTCCTGGTCTAATTTTAATATAGAAATTGCTGCGTTTGTAGGAGATCTTGAGGATCTTGGGCCAGGCGAAACGATTTATTCGGAGTCTGTCTTTGTAAATTAGCAGTCCATTGGCACAAACACCCAGCATAATGTCTACTCCCTCTGAGTCCTAGGATGGTAAAAAAAAATAGTATTTAAGAATAGAGTTTGCATTTCTCAAATTTTCATCATTCATATTCTAGCGATGTTTAAACATTACATTCAAAGGTAAGTGTTGAATACAAATTTGCACTTAATTTAAATTTGCACTTAAGTAAATTTATGAATAAAAGTTCACATTAATAAAAATAAAGGAAAGACCATGCCACATGTTATACCAGTTGTTTAATAAGGCTTCAGGCCACCACATAGAGCCTGTATGCACTGTGGCAGAAACTACCAGTTCACAATCAGACGAGTATAATATAAAGACATGGCTCTTGAAATTTATTTAAAAAACATGCCAGCAATATTGTTAGTCAACACTCTGTATAAAACAGAGATAAAAGGGAAGGGATATAACTACTGTAAACAATAATTCAGTCATTGAAAAATACCTTCAAACATTACTTGGCAGGGAGATCTATGGAATTCTTTTATTTATTAATTTTTCCACCCACAAATCTAAATGCAAAAATATACTTAATTATTTGTTTATACAGCTGATGTATACGTATACGGTCTGTTCCAAATATCATCTAATATAATTTTCCACTAGCCTTCACTTCACAGGAACAAACCACATCAAATCTGCTTCCATGAGTTAGTTGGTTTTCACAGACCTATTTTAGATCTATTTTTATACTGCAGACTAAAGACAGTAAGATTTAAAATCTTATATGTTTCACACTGTCTCCCTGTTTGTGGATCTAATAGTTGTACTAAGGAAATCTCCAATGTACCCATAAACTGCCCCCCTTCTATTTCCATTCTTTAATTATTTATTTTCATGATCCCAAAGGAAATTGCTGCTCCTTGGCATAGGAGTATATTCATAGTAATGATTGTAAAATGTGTGTGAAGACCAAACAAAAAACCCATTTGTTATTAAATGTCAATGTTAAAGCCAAAACGGGAAGATCTGTAAACCACCAACGCATGACGTCTTCATCCACGACCTCAGAACAATCCTGAAGTACGAAGAAGGAAATCTAAAATACAATGCATGCCCTCTTCAGCGTTACAAATCTCAAAACAAAAGAGTGTCATCGAACATGGACATCTTTGGGGGGCACTTTAATTAAATCATGGCCATTGTACTTTTATCTTTAGTAAAAACTCTTCCAACTGAAGACATAATGGCAACAGAAGTGAAAATCTGAGCCAAACGCAGCACTGTTACACAGTGAAATTCTTTGCTTACTCAGGTCTAGAAGAACCTACCTTGGCATGATGCAGATCCACTCCATACATGGAGAGCTTCTTGGCATTTTCCAGGAACTGAGCATCAGCCTGAGCAGGAGTCAGACCCCTGAAGGGGACACCAATGGTACTCAAGAAAATTCACATCAGCCACATGCATCTTACAATTATTATTACTGAACACACTGCTCTCCTCATTCTAAAAAAACTTACAATTAATTAACCATCATACCTAACTCTTAATCAGATCTTTCATAGCTTCCTTTTGTATTGTTTAACAAATGTAACAATTCTGCCTCATAGCAGTCATTTTAGGATTTCTTGTAGTCTTAAATGATAATAGTCCACAGCAAAACGAGTGTCACTCAGGACCAAACCTCCAGCTCCCCGATTTACACCTTATTTTCTGTACGCACTCCTTCAATGTCTTCGCACACTATTGTAAGGGGTGCTCTCAGAGGTGAATTGGGTGCTGGTCTGGAATGACCGACACCCTCAGCAGGAACCTACTCTTCAAGTGGTTCCATAGGGACCAGGCCTGCACGGCAGGTGTGAGGATAGAGGACTACAAGCAGGTGAGAGTGTTAAAAACACTGAGAACTGCAGCGAAGAACTAAGAAACGAAGGCAAGCAGAATAGCTTGGAGTTTCTGGCTCTTAAGTACAGTAAGAGGTACCGGAGCAGCGATAATGAAGCTGCTAGCCTCCTAACCTGTGTGTTTTGTACAGCTCTATCACTTTCTCTTCCATCTCCTTTGTCTGTGAGGGTGCAAACTGGAAATCACTGGTGTAGTCCAGGTGGTGCTCTTCAGGATCATAATCTCCCTGTTCAGCTTGCAGGGTGTAGGAGCCCAGCAGAGAGTGGGTGACAAAGGAGCAAGGCAGGCGACCCGAAGCAATATCCTGACGGAGCTGAAGGCACAGGAAATATCTGCACCGAGAGGGGGAGAAAAACACTTCTCATTTCCATTGTAAACCTTTTAGAAAAACCTACTTGTGGTCACATAACAGTAATCCCTCAGTTATTGAGAAACCCCTGTACATGTTTTCGTCATTCAAGCTCATTTATTGAGGGATTACTGTATACTGAAACAATAATTTCTGCACTATTGCACTAGGTTCATAAACAGCAATGAATGAGGTTTCAGTATGCTAGAATAAACACATGATTTAGTATCTTCAATGCCAAGGAAATGCAAAAGCAGAAGCAAATATGGTTTTTAGCATCTGAGAGCACACTTAACTACGTGTACAAATGATACGATCTTTTAGATAAAATAAGCTGTATGAGCTGTAGTGAAAGTCAGTTTTTTTTCATGGTTTTCAGAACTTCATGCTGTATAATACATAACATTTATACAAATTGCTAGAAATCTTTTTACAGGTAAATGCAGTATGTAAGGAACGTACATTGAAACATTTAAGGAACATTAAATGTTTCAAATTTGTCAACATTATGGTTGCTGAAACAGAGTATAGAAATTGCATTTTAGATTTGCTTGACTAAGTTCATCATGAGGTATTTTTCACAAATCCCAGACAGAGAACTTAAATTACATTTAAAAGCAGAACATGGCCTGAACTAGTAATAAGGGGAACTATTGCCTGTTTCAGACAAGGTTCACAAGAAAGGAAGATTACCTGGTTATATCTTCAGTTAGCTGTGATGGATCAGGAGGATAGAATTTTACATTAAAGGCAAACTGCCAAGGAGAGTCTGAAGAAAAAACGTAAAGTATAAAAAGCTGGTTAATTACATTTTATGGTGGAGAAAAAGACCTAGATAAATTTGCCATTGAACTATTCTGTACTAATCTATATACCAAAAATAGGCAAATGACTTACATTCTGTCCTTATTGTTTATAGATTTTAAAAGAAAGGTGATTCAACAAACTAAACAATCTAAATAAAAAGCATGAAGGAAGGAAACCATACATCTCATTTCCTATTACAAATAAGGTACCAATAAACTCTGTCATCCTCTTAACAAACAGCTGTAACAAAAACATGATGCTCTCACCAATGGAACTGGGCCAGAACTGTCTCTATTAGACTGCTACATGGTACAAAGAAAAAAACACACACCAAGAGGATGTAGCAGCTGCAAGCAATTATATCACAGTAGAGAACCCTCAAGCTTTGAAGTTTTTTGCTGAACCTCTAAAAACTGCAACAACTCACTTTGGTTTTCAGTGGAGATACGGAACTATATATTTTAATGTGGTGCTTTCAAACGGTGGTAATAAGAATGAAGAGAGTGACTCAGGCAGTGCTACAAACAGGTCAGTTTGAAGTTTGTAATTACAGAGTCCATCTTGGCTGTCAGATAAGACAGTATTTTATGTCACATAAAAACATAAATGTTGATATTTCCAAGCCAAACAGATTAATCACTATTCCTGATCAATTGTCACATACTACAAAAACAACTAAAAAAATAAATGGTTGTTCTGTTTTATCAACCAAAACAGTTAAACTGTATATTTGATGACAGATTAAGACACTTCTGTCCTTTGCTCCGTTCTTTACATAGTACAGTGTAAGCTGTCACAATCAAACAATTTAGCCCAATCCCCTCTTCAAATAAAGCCCCATTACCAGGATGATCTTGGGTTTAGAAGCCAGGTTCATGTCCAATATGAGTGAAAGTGGTTCAGCCACACCCTTGATTCTCACAGAAGCTTGAATTAACTTTCTCTTGTAACTCAGAGAATCGGAACATTCTTCTATAAGTAGTATTATTCTTCTGTACTCACAAATGTGGCTTTTGAGATACAGCAACAAGAACACAATAACACAAGAAAGGCTGTAATGCAGTGGGGTTTTGTTTATTTGTGTTTTTGAGTACTTTGTTCCAAACACACACTTCTCTTTGTGCTGCCTGCTTATTGACCTAAATATGCCTGCACAATAATTTTTTCAAATGTAAGCATAAGGAAATAAATCCCGACTGGACACAAAGCTTTTGAGTTACCTATTATTGTGAAGTGTGAATTTTCAATTTGATTCAATTTATTTTTATATAGCGCTTTTCACAACAAGGTTGCCCCAAGGCGCTTAACAATGCAAGTGACCCTACATGTTGTGAATACAGAACAGAAGACCAGAAGACAACAGAGGAGAGGAACCGAAAACTCCTTAGTAAGGAGAGAACAAACCTCTAGGGGTCCAAGGTCAACTGGCTGCCCAACCCCTTTGGGCATGTTAACATTATACAAATAAAAAAAAAGGAAATAAATCAAAAAACCTGTGGAAAAGTACACAAAAGCACACTAGGAATTTATTACGATAAGCTTCATCGAATGGAGGAAGCACTATTAGCACCCTCATTCTGCTTCACTTGAGACTGTGGAGTTAAGTCAGCTTGTGGAAAGTTTGGAAATAAAATACAAAATATGCAGATGGTTTTAAAGCTTATGAAAGAGGAAATGACATGTTTTTCCTCTGCAGCAGTATCAATACAAATCATGTAATGTAGCAATGTTTACATTGAGGTGCTATAATATTTCATTAAGACACAGAGCAGTATGATATCATCACTCATCATTTAAAGCATTTAGAAACACAGCAAGTATAAATCTCTATAAATGATCTGCCTTTCCAAATGAAATGTTGGTTTAAATTAGAGTTTTACACTTTTATACAGAAGAACTGCTTTCTGAGTGAAGAGAACCTCTGATTTCACCATCACATCCCATCACAAACTATATGAATCTCTCCAAAAAGCAATCACTTATTTTTCCCAGCTGGTAATTCCATTGTTAATATTTGTAGTATAAAGACACAAAGTATATTTATACCATCTAACGTATCTGATCCTTTCTCATGCATCCCAGTACTGTCTGAGGCTGGAACAAGAAACTGCTATAAGTATTATCCAGATACTAGAGAAATTACAGGAAATATTCATTGTACAGTATGTGTTTAGAGTAATTATTTTTGTATTGTAGTGTGAGCTTTTTATGAGATTGTGCACTAAAATGTTTGTGTGCGCACACATGATTTACTACATTCAACAAAAATGAAAAACCTCATAGCAAAAAGTGTAACAAACAGATGAGATAATCCTCTACGGAAACGACTAATTCACGGAAAGTTTCTCATAACCATGAGTCAAAGATAAAGCCATTTCCTCAAAGACCTGTTCCAAGCCAACAGACGTCCCCCAGTGAAGCAAAAGAAAAATTAATCTAAAACCAGGATTTGGAGGAAAGTTTCACGCTGGTCTATTTTAACTAGACTTTTTTTTCAGTCCCCATTCCCATATTTAACCCAGGCGGCCTTCTGTAGGATGAAGCTGGACCGTCAGCAGCCTGCTCTGTTGTGAGAGCAGAGACAGGTGTGCTGCTGTGCTCCTCACACCCCACTAACACAGTGGGAACTTTCGTGAACTTGGGGGCTGGCTGGCATGGGCGGGGTGCAGCTTCAGACAAGCCAGAATGAGTAATAAGAAGATAAATCAATTCTCTTTCAGAAACGACGAGGAAACAAGCTACGAAGCGGGCAGGAAAGGAAAAGGAGAAACATATCGGTGTAACATATTTAAAACAGCCTGCCAGAGGAAGTGCAAAAGGGGGAAGCTGGAAAAAAATGTTGATGATGTTACGTGACCTTCTACTGCATTAATTTAGGTGGAATTATCTGCAAGCTCTGCCAAAACCAGGAATAAGAAAAAAAAACACTGGGGGTTAAACTGGGGGAGCATAGGAGTAGAGAGGACTGAGGATCGTGCAAGACTAAATACTGGAGGCGTCAGGTGCTTCAGCTCACACTCACTCCAAAGTCACATCTTAGAAAAACTACAAAATGGCTATGAGAGCTGAGACACTACCTCCTTCCAAAAGTTACGGGGCCTGCAAACGAGTGTCTTACCCTCGGACACAGTGATCTGATAGCAGCAATTAATATGACTAGTTTCCAGTGGGGCTACAAGTGAAAGCGCTGTAGTAAGTTAATAATGGTTACAAACAACCCATCTGCGTAGGGTTCTTTTGAAAAGTAGAGTGTGACAGGCTGACATCATAGTGAGGAGGCCTTTTCCAGACTCCAACAACTCTTTGTGTAAAGAAGTACCTACTTAATTTTTAAAGGTGCTCAACTCAACATAAACACTCAATTATTCATAACTGACTTGGTGTTTCTCATTTTATATAGTGTTTATCCTGTCTTGAATGTTGTCTAAATACTTTTGAATTTCTTTTGCAAATTCTCCTAGTTTGATGTGATCTGCAAACTTATCTAAGTTCCTAACTTTACCCCAGTTGAGATCACTGATGTAAATGACATCAAGAAAGAGCAGTACGCCACTAAACACCACACTCTACAGTCTGAGCATTTACTGTACCTCTTATCTGTTCCCTGAACCAAAGTGTGATCTAAGTAGATACATTACCTTGAATGGTTAATGTCTGCATACATTTATTTTTGAGCACTTTTACCAAAACTTTCTGAAAATCCTAATGTGCCACATTATATGCTCCTTGTGTATCCATCCATGCTGGTGCTTGTTCAAAGAACTAAAGTCAGGTGAGCAAGAAGTACTGTATAACTTCTGAATCTATATTGACTGAGAACGGTATTCAATCAATTGTATTTAATTGGTCTATAATTGTTAGTTCAGTTTTGCTGCTCTTTACAGAAGAGTTTTACATTTGCAAATTATTTAAGCACTATTTATTTATATTGTATCTTTGTATGACTTCTAGGTACTTGATTTTGGTATTTCTGATCACTCCTTATGCACTTAGGACCAACTAGACCTTTGTCTAAAACTAAGCATTTCATGACGGTTTGTAAATCAACAGAATTTTTCAGACACAGATAACCTCCTGAATTCAAGCAATACTTCCTTTATGTGCACAGTACGTTACAAAACAGTCAATGACTGTCTCAGCTAATCATAACGCACAACATAGAGCAGGCGCTACAGATCTTGCCCATGACCTCTGACCTTACAGAAACACCTTACTTTGAGTGCAGATAGGGTTATAGTTATAAGACAACACAAATAGGAAACCATACAGTACAGTATGTATTCTATAAAAAAGTTTTTATTTATAACCTTTGATTTCTCTGAAAGTCAAATGCAAAAGTGTAAAAGTTCTGTTAGAGAGTACAGATGGGGCAATGGTTTTTATAGAACACATATAGTTGCCATTAAAAGCTTAATTTAAAAGAGCATTTTCCCAGTGAAAAGTGATATATTGGCATATCCACTGATTTTATTTAACACTGCTTCCTTCGATTATAAGCTTAACAATAAGATTTATAATGATCTCCTCACTTCTAAAAAACACACAAATCGCCCCTTCATTGAAAAATTAATTTAGACCCCGTCCCTGAATATTTATGTAATTACAGGCTAATTGCAAATTTACTGGCAAAATGTTGCAACCAGATGTAGCATACCAGATTCTATCCTACCAAGTAATTCATCAGCATGTTAAAAGCATTACCTTAAAAAGACATGACTATCACAAATTAATTAAATTGGAGGTCTGGGCAATTTTTATTTTTTATACTTTTCAAATGGGTCGCACATATAGTTTCAGCACATAGCACAGAAACTGCCTTGGTTAAGATTTGTTAGATAAATGATCTACTGATGGCTGCTGACTCAGGCTTCAGCTGAACTTAAAATACCAAGGCTGATGGCATCAAAAACCATCACATGTTTAGTCAGGGAACGACAAGGTTCTTTTTGCTGCTATTCTAAAGGGGTTTCATTATTTTTATGCAATATAAACTAACTGGTTACATTTAGTGGAATGAGGTCAGTTGTGTTACCTCTGGCATTCTTCTGGGATCCATTCTATAGGATATCTGCATGACTATTATTTGACACTTTCCCAAATAATTACTCATCAGGGCATTCATTTTGTAATAGTTATGCTGATAACATACATATATATCTGCATACTACACCTCACATTTCTTCAGTTGTTTCTATGCTCATTATGAATTAGGCAGATACACGCAACTATTTCTTGCTATTAAGCCTTGATTATTGAAATGTTCCGTTTGCTGCTGTTCCTACAAAGCTAGAACATAGGCTGCAATATATGTAAAAATAGTATTGCATGGGATTTTTTCTGCAAAGAAAGCAAACAAATCAAATATCATCAGGCTTTTCATATGTTAGCAGCTAAAATCTGAACTGACAAGATTTTGCTCTTACTTTCAAGGCTTCAAATAGCCTGACCTCAACTGACGTCAAGGACTAGCTTTCTCATCACGTGTGACAGAATGGAACTTGCTCTGACAAATATGACCCTCTCTGCGCATCAAGGACAGAGCGATGCCCAGAGGAAGACCATACCTCCTGAGCCATGACGTCTTTGGAGCTCCCTTCCTAGATATATCAATGACTCAAAAACTTGCTCAGATATGGTGTTTCTAAATTACACGTATAGACATTTTTGTTAACATTCTTGTTTTAATGTTATTTATTCTTTGCATGTTTTTATGCCCCATCTTGTATCTTAACTCGTGTTTTGGATGTTACAGCATGTAAAATTTAATCCAACCACTTAACATTTTACCCAAGTCTTAAACATATGGCTTGAGGAAACCTAGACAACATACTGTAAATCAGCATGACCCCCCCAGGATTGTCCCAAGGCAATAACTAATTATGATGGAAAATAAATATTGACACACAGCGATCTGCTTTCGATATTCACATGAATGTTCGCTGTGCTTCAGTCGCAGACTTCTACTTCTTTCTGATCCGCGCTGCTTGTTTGTAATCCTTCACGTCCTTATAATTTTGCTTATCACTTTTTTTGTTACAAAAACCTCTAGCTAAGCACGAATACTCACAAGCAGAAGTGGCTTGAGGTCTGCATGGATAGCTTGTTTTTAAGTGCTTGGTCGTAAGTACTCTGTTCTACCGGTTACATGACTCCATCATGTTCTCTGACAGAGCCTGCCATGTAAAGGCACTGAATAAAATAAATACTGAAACAGAATATAGACAGGACTTTACTTATGCACTACTACCTTACTATTTGCTAAAATAGCATCCACAAACCCAGTAAAACCTGTACTTCATGTAGGAATTTTAACGTGACGAAAATTTAACCTACCTAGCTTTTCTTAATGTATGTTTTTATAACAACACAAAAATAATGAGTACTTCAAGTATTTCTCTAGGCACAATTCCAAAAGGTTAGACAGTTTCTAACACAGCTGTACCGTTTGGAAGACACAATACTTATATTTGGACATATGCCCAGCCATGAGAACCTGGTGATGATGTAAATGGATACATTATGTGAGAAAGCTAACAGTCAAAAATATAAAGGGCAGAACCTCACAGCAGTTTCCAGGGATACAAATGAAATTCCCCTTGACGTATCAGACCTAAGCTTGGCACGCTTCTGCCAGGATTTATCATAAGTCCAGTGACCGCTAAAAACTGGCTTCAACAGTCTAGTATTATTTTGCTCAGTGCTGAGGAAAATACTTTCACATTTATAAAGATGAATGAGCATCTTTAGAAATAAGCACAAAAGTGAAAACGTTCTTCTGAAATTTCAATTAATAGAAATGTGAAGCTTTTATTCATGCAGACTGCATAGTTTTTGTTTTCTTGAGAGCAAGTGTGGGAGTTTATAAAAAAGCAATGTAAAAAAAAGTAATATAATGTGTAATGTAATGTGCAGCGCAAACACACAACACTCCCTCCATGGCTGACAGCTACTTTCTGCAAACCTACAAATGCCACAATTTTCTGGAGCTAAAAATGGTTCATCACAGTACTAATCTTACTGTAGCAACGTCCATGCATGCAAAATTAATTAAAAAGAAACAGAACGTCTAACAACACTTACTTCTAATTTGCCTCTTGATCTCCTTTGAAGGGTCCAGCCAACACTGAAAGGCAAGGTAAACAAAAATGACCTTTCTAAGCATTAAGTAAGGAAAAAGATGTGAATAGCCACAGTTGTTCCCATGTAAAACCTATAAGCATGCATTACCAGTCGTACAGTACATATTAAGAGTTGACAGTGCATGCTTCTGTCAGCCCACTACAAATCCCAATCTAAATCTAGTTGCTAGAGAGGGAAGAATCCGCTTTGCTAGTTTTTGGCTTTTTATAAAACCGGAGAAACAATGGTGCAAGTGGACCGCAGAACAGTCTAACTGATAAAATATGGTCAGGCCCAATTTACAATAAAATGAAATTGAAATATCAAAGTCATTTTGGAGAAAGAAAGAAAAAAATATTTTATTGTGTGGGATCCTATGAAGAATCCAGGGTTTGCAGAACAATAAGGCCATGATGATGTAATGGCAAAAACAGCAAGAATCTTTGAAGGCCAACAAAATATCATGATCTCTAAGGAATTTAGGTTGTCTGTAGCCATGGCTGTTAGCTCCCCAGACAATACTGCAAGCTTGTAACTAAGAGTCAGACAAGCGTGCCCCTGATGACAGGATTCTTTGTTGACAGCCTGAAACATTTTAGTTCACATTAACTTCCTAAGGTACTTTTTTATTTCAACAAACATTTTTCATAGTTTCTGAAATAAGTGTACTGTGATTCCTTGATCTGAGTACCATTATGAATAGACTTCCATCTGACGCAGCAAAAACATATTTTTAGACAACAAATAAAGGAGTGTAATAAGCCAACCGTCATTCAAAACATATCAGCTGCGAATCTTTGGTCATTTTTCGCTGAATTAGGATAATTTAAAATGGAACACCTTTCCTAACAAATCTAACACTTTTTTTCCAAGTACAAGTTGGAAAACACACCGGATACTGCATACAGTTCCACATTGGTGCATATTATAACAACTCCAGAACAATCTTCCACAAAAATGTTTCTCTAGTGTTTTTACCCACATAAAACAAAATACTAATTCGCAACACACATAACCAAGAGTCATCACAGCAATTGGCTCCCAAGATACATAAGATGGAGGTCATGTTTGTCATGTAAATTCATAAGGGAGAATGGTATTTAGTTTCCTTGCTCCTTGCTCCAACATACAGAACAACACCTGTCTTATGAAGGCTGTTACATACAGTAGTATATAAAAATAAGATTCAATGAGATCTGGCTTGAAGATCAACATTTTTAAACCTTTTAGTCAATTTAGGGTATCATGGCATATTGGGGATGGTATATTTAGGAGATGATGAGATTTAGAGCACCCGAAAAAAAAAAAACTTTCACAAATTCTACTCCACTTTGTACTTTTCCTGCCATACTCATGTACATGTTGAATCGATTTGTGTTCATAAAGAGGTAACAAATTAAAGTAAGGTTTATCAAAAGCCTGATTTATATCAGGGTCTTGGGTACAAATGGAAACGATTTAAATCTTTAAATCAGATGAACACAGATTGAGAAAAACACATGGAGTATCCCATAACTCTGTACCTGAACATGATATATTACAGTATTCGTTCTCTTTAAAACCCGAACCTTTCGCTTAATTCAAAATTTCAGTTAGGCTTCCTAGCTCTCATTCTCCTATGCCAAATAAAGCAGAAATACAAAAGTTGGCCCACAAGGGACTTAGAAAGCTACAGTGCTGTGGCAACACAGGCTAGAGAGGGCAAGGACTTCAAGAAACTTGTGCCCATGTAATGGAAGGCCGAGCAGATAAAGAACAGCTGCTCCTATAACCAGGGATGCAGTTCTGCACTGAGCTCAGACTGGAGGAATCAGCCATCCTGCTTGTCTTTTCGGCCTTTTGCATTTTATTATGGATGTGCTGTTGATTTCCCTCATAAGTAGCCGGAATGTGATCATGATTGGACTGTGTGTGATGACTACCTTAGTTTGGCTAACCGGCTGCTTGAAAGGTATAAGACAGTGAGTAAAAGATGTGCCACATTTTCCATGGCAAACCGATCTACACAAATCCCTCCTCTCTCAGTAATGCTTTAAAACTTAACTGCAAAAACAGAAATTTAGCCTTTAAAAATTTCAGCAAGGACTTGTCCAATCATGAAAGTTTCAGAACATTTACAGAACTCCACAGCTGTCGTTTTAATCAGGTCCTGACCACAAGCTCTTGCAGAGGGACCTCGTCACAGCAAAAGGTGCAGGCAGGAAATACAGAATTCAGCCTTAATCACCTGACTAGACTGACAACAGCAATCTCTTCAGTAATTAGGTTTCATAATGTACTTAAATAATTCATGAAAAGATTATCACGCTACTAATATTGTGCACCTTTTGCAAACTACTCACATAAAATGGTCTTTAAATGTCTAGTGACCTCCACAAGTCAATGCAGTGAATAAAACTAGAGTTGTAGAGTCCAACTTTCAATTAAATCCATTCCTGCATCAATAAGACTGAAATATTTAATAATGCACGAAGATAACTCACTGCAATCATACAAAATAAATCAGCTGAAGTGGATTTTCTTCTACAATACGTCTAGGTACTGTAATTCACTGGTTTTCTGTGAGTGGGATCTGTAAAGAATCCTGCGAAAAGGAGCCTTATTTTGCCAACCTAAACACCACCTAGTAATTTATCTGCAAGCCAAAGTTGTTGATCTGTCTTTAATAATTATTATGGAGTTGTATCTAACCACTTATCACAGGCAAGTAAAATGCTTCACACACATTAGTTATAAATGGCATGCCAGTGCCAATAATACATTACCTTTTGGTCAGTGTTGTCTTTGTACGCCAGTCCAAAGTAATCCTTCTCCAGGAGATTGAGATGTTCGCAAACTTTCTGAAAAAGTATTAGGCCCTTTGCCCGTTTCTAGAAAGACAACAAAATAAAGTTATGCCATTTATTATTTCAAAAGTTACAGAATTGCGGTGTCACGGTAGTTGATTTATTAAATATTACACTAGTGATGTCCTGTGGTTTTGCACTTCTGACTTTTCCAGAGATGGAAACTTCTAATTCGTTTCCCACTTCATTGGAAGGGAAGGTACATTAGTGTCACACAAGTGCAATTGAAGCACTGAACACAGGCTGGTCCACTGATGAAGAACACCACCATGCCAATTCCTCTCAGAGAAGGCTTCTCATTTACTACACAGAAAAACCACAGTAAAAAATAGATTTGTAAAGATTTACTTAACTGAAAAAACAACACAAACTAAATCTTTTTAGATTTAAAAAACTTACAATAACTAGCGTGATATTAGTTCTGCCGAACGGCTTTTTGTTTTTAATCTTCCTTATGTTCTTATATTTTCTGTCAGAAAATGTACTTTAAAAGTGAAATGTGATATTTATTTTTTCATTCAAAAAGGTAGAACAAGTAGATGCTCCTGACTTCAACCTTGAATTTTTGGCATTGCAGTATGGAGTCAATACAACACTGAAAACCCAGAAACATTCCCAACACCCGCTCAGCATTCTGTGTTTAATGGCCGCTTGGCAGCTTTAACATTTGCTAACAGAGCAGAATTTAACAGGCCACTCGCATTATAGTAAAATCCCCACAGAACTTTGTGAACTATCTGTGTGTAGGTCCTTTGACACTAATGGTATTATACAACTATTTGAGCTGAATCGGTCCCCACAATGGGGACAAACACACTACCTCCACAGGCAATTTATTTTCCAGGCCTGCAGGAAAATCAAAAGGGACAAAGAACAATAACAACGATTGCTACATTGAAAAAAAAGAATACTGATGCATTTTTGTTCGTTTTTGTAGAGAGAGTAAAATATTTATGGTATGCCGGTTTAATAAATCATCCCATGAAAAGACACCCAACATCAAACATTTTAATTGCAGCCTTTTTCTCCCCATCTCAACAGTTACTGTTAAACAGTCTTATCCAGTCGGAAAGGACGGTCAAGGAGGCAGTGTGATTGATTTAACAAGCAAAGACTCTCTGCTGATACAAGAAGCATTTGGAGAACAAAATCCTAAATAAATGAGTAAACATCATAAATAACAGACAATCCTTTATTGAAAAGCATTAACTGAGGTTTAGGAACTCCCATCCAGTGGTAACAGTGAAAGGTACTGCCTGCTACAAATTTAAGTGAAAACTAGCAAAGATAAACCCAAAGAGGCTCCAAGTTACATTTTCTAAAAAGTCATATTCCAGAAAAGGAGAGATCTCTGTAAGTAGAATATCAGCCTGAACGTGATCCTCGGTTCCTACTGCTCATCACACCTGAAGAAAAACCAGTCATCGCAGTGAACAATTTCTTCAGGAAACCGGAGATAAAAATGAGTGTGCACAAATACCTGACTGGGTTCGTCATGGGATGTACTGCAGAGCGTGGTAATGCTAAAATATATCACCGTGCATTAATAAAGGGGAGAATACAAAACAATCGCAAGCAGTCTTGCAAACATCCATTGTTGCACACACTCACATATACACATATTGTATTAATAATGTATACTAAGAGGACTAGATTTTTGACAGATGTTCTAAAGTGCACAAAGTATGGTCAGGCATACATGTCTGGCTGCCTAAGCAATGAAAAATTAATATAAAAACGCACTGATGCTTCAAAGACAGGTCCAGTCTAATGAGACTTAATTTATATTTGCTTCAGATACCCATGACTGGGTTTTGGAGAGCTTTTTGATTAAATGTCCCATAACAACTCATATTACTTACTCCTGAATGGATTTAATCCAAACCTTTTTCTACATGTTTTCAGTAATTTACTTCACATCTTGAACTAATCCTACTTGATCCCTACTGTATCACTCTCCAAAATGTAGAAACCCAATTTAATTTTTTACAGCTTTAAAACACTCTCCACGTATTGATTTCCTCCAGCATGTTTTAGCACATGTATGAAGATCAGAAAATGTGACAACTGCAAACCTCCAGCAGGTCACAATATCATAAGCATCCATCCGTTTTCTACCTATGTTCCTGAATACAGGGCTGCAGGGAGCTGGAGCCTGGACCAGCAAGCAACAGGAAGAGACTCCAGTCCACCACAGGGCACACACACACCGGGACCAAATTGTTCCAGAAGCCAATTGAACTACCAGCATGACTTTGGACTGAGAGAGGAACATACAAACTCCACACAGACAGCACCCCAGGTCTGGAACTGAACCCAGGGCCCCAGCGCTGCAAGACAGCAGTGCTGAACCACTGCATCACCATGCCATCCTATCGTCAGATTAGGAATACATTTTCACCCTGCTCTGAAGTTCCACTGACCTTAATTTAATTGATTTACTGAGTTATAGCTTAACTCTAGATTTTTTTAAGACAGGGATAAATGAGACTTGGGGAACACAGTTAATAAAGGGGATAAGCATGAGACAGATTGAGTCACATACTCATTTGTATATGGTTTGCAACCAAAAAGACAGAATTAAAGTCAATGTTCTTAAAGCTCTGAGCTCCTATTGCAGTGGCTTGGGCTCTATACTGGAGCTTTGCCTGAGCTTGTGATCATAGGAACCTGTACACCAGAACACTGTCCAGCACTGAGTCAACACGGATGCCATGGTGCCACTTGGGCAATTAAGAAAAAGAAATTGCAGTTGATCAGTCTGACCAGCAATCTAACAAGGAACCTTCTGAAGAAACGAAGATTGTGGAAAATCCAAAAATTGAAAAAAATACGCTTGTTATCTTTACATTACAAATGCACTAAATGAGTAGTTGAACCATTTGTTGCGTTTTACTGACTCTCAGTAACCTTACAGAGCAAGGGTACTATGGATATACACTGAAATACTGAAGCTGTGACCTACTCCAGGAGTACCGATATCACAAAGGTTTGGGGACTCTAAAAATCTTCCGATATCTAACTTCTTTTCTATCAAAGGATTTAGAGAAAGTGGGTGTCATGCATGCATGCCATTTCTCTACCATGGAAAAGATCAGCATGGTTAGTAGATCTGTGCTTTTGGTATGTTTTAAACATTTAAATAAAACTAGACATGTTCATGAAGGGAGAAATGAAGCCATCTATTCATTTCTAATTATTTCAGATTTATTCTCAATGTTATTGAAATGTTGCATGTTAAATGTTGCAGCACATAAAATTCATTAATTATGCAAACCAGTATATATGCATATCAGTGAACAAGGAATAGGCACCACTGAAAAAAGCATGTAATGAACATTAAAGATTGGTAGGGAAAGCCTTTAGAAAAACCAAAATATGAACTAGGACTATGCTTAATTGAATTTGGCAGGTTGGAATAATCAAAAGCCTGGGCCGTCTCTTAATGACTCTGGCAGATACATGCTGAACAATGAGGGTAATAGGTTCTGCTTAAACAGGGTCATGTCAAGGCTTAAATGGGTAAACTATACTAAACAAGCCTGTTTTTATTCAAGATAAATTTTATGTACACTTCAGATGGTATTTAAGAGAAACCAATTTGTTTTTGTTTCTGTATTAATTTTTTCTAGTTCTGTCAAGTTCAAATATTTGATGGTCATTTGTGTAACTTTATTTCATGTTTAACTGACTGTTATTTGCTCAATTTAGAGGAAGGGATACAACAAGGTTTATTAAGTACTATTATACTATTGAAGTACATCCATGCTTATGAAGATACTGTACAAAAGCAATTCACTACAACACAGAGCTTGTGAATTACACAAAGCATCAATTTTGCACCATTTGTCCGTGCTATACATCTTCTTTAGTGATTTAAAACAATCACAAACATTCAAACTGAGGACCACAGAGCATGACTCATTTTTTTACGTCTTCTAGTCATCAGAGATCCACAGTCTGAATTCCATCAACTCCACAAGCCATCAGCACATTCTGCCAAATCTCATGGTGCTTCATAACCTTTACCGATATGATACGAACAATAAAGTTTATTGGGTAAGTGCTGCCTGTCTCTGTTTGTCAAGAACCTGACATTTACGAACATATCACACATAGGTAAGAGTATGCTTAAAAACTGTGACAAAGATCTGTTTCTCAGTTTTAGACAGAACCAGGAACATCATGTTGTGTGTAAGATGAAAGATGTTATGACGTGAAAACCTGCCGACTTCCTTCTTCCACAGGACTCGTCCATCTTCTGCTTCTTAAGACACTTCTCCTGCTGACTGCCTCCAGGGGTCTGCCACTGAATGACTTTCCCTTCCCACATTTCCAGGAGACCCTGTATTTGACTTTTACAGGCAGAAGCAATCAGGTCCGTGTGGGCAAGTGTGATGATTTGCGCAGCCTAACCATCATTCTGAAGGTGAGAGATCGAGCAGGATGTCGTGTCACCTCATCACTTTTAGACTTATTTCTGAGCAAAAGCTTGGAAGTTACAATATGCACGGTATTGTGGTGGATACATTTTACATCCCCGTCAGATACCCTTACATCTGGTTTATGTGACTAATACATGGTTTATCAACCAAGAGCTTTAACAGAAGCATGAAAATGGCTTGGCAGAGATGTTGACAACATGGAACACAGGTATGACCTCTGTAAAGCAGCTTCCAGATTAGGGAGCTGAGAAGTCCGTGACAGACAGTGCTGTCCATATCATGTAATGTCTGCGAGACTTGTGCCCACATGTTGCTGTAACCACCAATGCTGTCAATAAGAAGCTGCACAGTGAGATTACCATCAGTAATAACAAGCTCCTGAAGCGGTGAACACTAATAATTAGCATGCAAAAATAAATTTAATGATAGAGTCGCAGTATTTAAACACTTTTGGTATGTTAAGGAAGGCCCTTTTAACTGAATTAAATTTCTATTCTGGCTTCTTAGTTTTTAAGTTTTCACAATTTCAGCTGAAGGACATTTAATTCACTGACCACATTGCTCTGTTTGATTTATATA